CTTTTGGCTGACGATAGTCGTCTTCTGCGCTTGCGCGGCACCACGCTCCGGCGCCTCACTCGCTGCTCCTCCTAATCGTATCACCACCAGCACTTCACAGCCCGCCTTGGTTTTCTCGAGTGGAAGAAACTTCGACCACCCGTCCACGACTGAACCGGCCATACTGGCCAGGCCACCGAAGGAAGGATTCCTCGAGGTATCGATGCGTACTAGGCCTGCTCGACACGGCCGCCCATCTGATTTATAACCCCCATCGAGAGACCACCAGGTCCTCCATCCCAGCCCTACCACGTCAACGCCACCATCAAACTCTAATTCTTAACCCCATTTTCTTTACATATCCAGGCCGCTCGACAGCATACTCTTCACAATGGAATTCTCAAACAGTGGTGACTCCGTGTTTCACCGCTTCCAGGCCGCCTTCATCCACGACGGGCAAGGGCAGCTTCTATACTGCACCGGGCCGCAAAAAGGCAGGGTGCAGGAGCACTGGGGATCGATCAACCGGCATCTTCCTAGTCGATCCCAGACGGCAACAGGCGAGAGCCAGAAGGCCGGATCAGCGGACCTGGATGGAGCCCTCCGAGGCTCAAGGCTCTACGAGATGCGGCGTCCCGGCTCTGGCCCAATGGGCCTCATCCTCGACGCCACGTCTAAGAACAGCAACACACTCAGCGCGCAGTTCGAGGAGTTCTTTGCGCAACTGCTCCTGGACCAGGCAGACTTTGCTATCCGCGACTCCGGATTGATGAAGTCGCCCTCCGGCGCATCTCTAGCCGTCACGGAGCGGATCGTCGACCTGTTCGACAGCTTCCTCAGGTATCAGGGGAAAGACGACCGGTGGGAGGCCTGCGGAAAGGCATACTTCACAGAGCGCGTCAGGCATTTCACCTCGCAAAATGCCAGCATCGAGCTCTGTCTGCCCGCTTTCCCCTGCAAATCGTCAAACACCAACAAGGTCCTCGGCAAGGCTCCCGATCGGGGAGAGCGGCTCGCGCTGGAGCGGCTTCATAGTTTCGTTGAGGCCATTGAAAACATCTACCAGCCCGGCGCCAAGCTGTGGATCATCAGTGACGGCCACGTCTTCAGTGATTGCAGTGAGTCAACTTTACGTTGCCCTCGGTTGCGATGATACTAACACCGCTCAGTCGGAGTCGATGATGCCGATGTCGACGCGTATGGCGAGCAGCTGAAGGAGATGAACCGTGCCATCGGCATCAGCAGAGGCAACACCGACCGTGTTGGTTTCAGGTCGCTCGTCGACCTCTTCGAGCTGGACAGGGCAAAGTCGCAGTACAAGCTCTCGGCGATCCAGACCCAACTCAACATCCCTAATATTGAGCACCACGTCGAGACGAGGTTGACCGTTGAGGCCGAGCTGTGCAGGCAGATCCTCATGGCTGGCTGCCAGCCCCAGGAGTCCGCGGTCCGCGCCAAAATCAAGTCGCAAGATGCGGCGATCCTCGCCCTGTACCGCGGGTTCTCGCGGTTCATGCTGGAGGACCTCGAGCTGCACCCCCACACGCAGCAGATGACTAGGAGCCAGAGGAAGAAACTATCTACAAAGGTGGCGTTCGAGATGATCATGGTAGGTTGCAACCGCACCAATGAGAATCCGCAACACGTCTGTTTTGGGACCACGCATAAGAACTGACCCGGCTGTAGAGGAACCAATCATATTCCAACCTGGTTGAGCTGCTTCTACCAAACCACGTGCGCCTCTCCATCCACGCGTGAGTATCCCCGGTCTGCTGCTTGGTCGGTGTGGCGAGACCTAACAGTTTGGGCTGTAGTCACAACAACGCCGGGCCGAAATTCGGAATCCAGCTATTCGACCCCGCCGTCGTTCGCGCGGTCGAGGGTCTCTCACCCGACGGTACGCCGATGACCTCCCGCGACCTCCTTCACATTCCCACGCCCTGGCACAACTGCGTCGTCGAGGTCGAGGGCAGCCCCTATCTCCTCGTCACCAAGGCCAGCATCCCCCGAGAGGCGATGTCCTTGGGCGCCGTGACCAGCGAGGTTGCCATCAGGGAAGCGCCGTGCTTTGTCCTGCGGCCAAGGGTAGGTGGCGTTGCCGCAGTCGACGAAGCAGAAGAGAAAAGGGAGTCCCCGCCGGCGGCCGTCGTCGACAAGCCCGCCCCAGTCCCGACGCCAACGCCCGCTCAGAAGCCCAGCGCGCCGAAGAGGCGGGGGCGGTTCGACTGGGCTCGGAGGCTGGCTGCCTTTCCGGTCATCTGCTGGCTGGGCATGGTTTTTTATCACCGCGTTGTGGAGGCGTTTGTGTAATGTCGGATCATGAGGTTGTAGTGCTGCATAGTTAAGGACTTTTGAGCGTGGGTATAATTGGGGGGGGGGCACAGCCGGGATGGGGAGTATATGAGGCGTTCTTTGTAGACCTTCTTTCGTCAATGTCTAATTTTCAATTGGGTTCAACCAGACCACGCCCGTCAGAAAAACTTGCTCGTTCCATTTCCAACCCTGTTTCTGGTGCCTAGCCCCCCCCATGCGGCTCACGGGAATGTCATGGTACTTTGCCTGCCTGAACCCAAGGGTCCCCTCCTCTGAGCAAGTTACCCAAAGCGGTAATCTTCTCAAACGAGCGCGCCAAGACGGACCCGGGGGGGAATGTCCTTCCCGACAAACCCGACCGGGAAGGGAACGGTAGGAGGGGGACATCTCGCTGATCCCAAACGGGGCCGGCCTATCGAGATCCGGGAGGCGAGTTTGATTAAACCGGCCCAATCAGTCCAGTCGCACAGCTTCGCGGTCCTACCGCAGCTACGCAGGATGCGGGAAGGGGGGAAAGGTATGTCTGGGAACCGCTTGCGCCACGTAAGGGAAGGTCGCTCTGCAGTCCGGTGATCCTAAGCCGACGCAGATCGTTGAAGTATTTATCGGGGGGGGGGGGGGGGGCAGCGCATCGAGATATAAGCCAGCCGCTTCCCCGCTCCATGGATGCGAAGCTGAGCCCGTTGCCTGCGAAAGGAACAAAAAAAAAAAAAAAGAGTCGCCCTCTTATTTCTCCATACCGGTTCGTCCTCCGATCACGTCCTCGCAAATGCGTCTTGTGCTGCACACGCCCCGCTGGTGGTGGCCTTCCTTGGTCGGCCTCCTCCTCTGGGCGTGCCTCGCCGCGACGGCCGCGACGCAGAACGAGGTCGAGACCTCGACGACGACGACGACGACGGCGGCGGGACCACCGCCCAGGAACTTTGGCGTCATCGTGTACCGCGCGTACGAGCTGCTCGACATCTTCGGGCCCCTCAGCGCCCTGGGTTCGCTGGCGAGGATGCACCAGATGAACCTGTACATGATCGGCGAGACCATGGACCCGGTGACGGTCGAGCCGCTGTCGCCCGCCATGAACACCAAGAACTCGAGCTTCGTAAGTCGTGAGGCCCCGTGATGTGCTTTGAGGGGTTGGGTGTTGTCCCCCCTCCCCCTTCCCCGGCGGAGCGTCAGCTTCCGTGACCGGTCTCGGAAGCGTGTGTGTGTATGTGTGTGTGTGTGTGTGTGTGTTTGTGTGTTGACGCTATGCAAAGTTCCCCGTGGTGCTGCCGACGCACACGTATGCGACGGCGCCCAAGGACCTCGAGGTCCTCATCGTGCCCGGCGGCCTCTGGACGCGGTCGCCGAACCTCAACTCGACCATCGCGTACATCCGGACCGTCTACCCGAGCCTGCGGTACCTCGTCTCGATATGCACGGGGGCCGGGGTGGTGGCGCGGGCGGGCGTGCTCGACGGGCGGCGGGCGACGACGAACAAGGCGTCGTGGGCGAGCACCGTCGTCCACGGGCCGCGGACGGAGTGGGTGGCGCGGGCGCGGTGGGTCGTCGACGGCAACGTGTGGACGTCGTCGGGGGTGTCGGCGGGCATCGACGCGACGCTGGCCTTCATCGAGGAGGTGTACGGCGCGGCGAACGCGACGTACATCGCCGACACGATGGAGTACGACTGGCACCGGGACCCGAGCTGGGACCCGTACGCGGACAAGTTCAACGTCACGGGCGCTTGAGCGGCCGGTCGGGTCCCGGCGTGTCTGTGATGGGACCACGTCCGGGGGAAGGGGGGGGAGCCAGACGTGGAGGGGCAGTCCCGTTGGCTGGTGGACCTGGTGATGCAGTGGAACGATCAGAGAGGGCTATTCGTTGCGCCGGCTTGGACACTTTGACCCATCGAATTTGTATCGCAACACACATCCGCTATTTGGTCGAGACTTCGGCGCCGTTGCCTTACTCGGCGACTTCTTGTACTATTTTCCTTGTCATCTCCTTTCATCACGGACGAGACCGGTGTTTACGAAGCATCAAACAACGTAATGACAGGGGGCGTACGTGCGAATACAGCTAACACGCCAGAGTGCCACATCGTGAATCAGATAGGCTTGCTTGGATTTGATGCGAGAACTCACGGATTGCCAGAAAAGGTGCACAAACTCAACCACAGCCTCGAGTTGCAGGGAAAGCCGCAGCTGCGGATGCGATAACGACTGCGTACCTATATCCCGTCAACGTTACATCGTACAACATAATACATATATGTTATATGGTATATGGTGGTAATTGCTGCGATGATTACGTGCGTTGTTGATCTTCGGCAGGTCCACAATGCCATATACTCCTCAACCATTAAGTTTTGAAAGTAGCCGGTTTGAGACGGCCTAGCTAGGTGTTGTTTCGTATAGGGAGTCTTCTATCATGTATGTATCTCGTGGTTAAAACCCGAGTGCCAAGCACGTCCAGCAGTGGGTTGACAAATAAAGATGTTCCGCGTGCCAGCCATGTCGTATCACATAAACATAACTGAGCCGATATAGGCTCCTGGGCCTAATACTGCATTAGAAAGAAAAGAAGGGGAAAAAAAGCAACCGTCCGATTCCAAATGGGAAACGCACACTTCATGGATCGCCAACCATCCACGGATGACAAGGGGTCGTCGGGATTTAGCTCAAACTCAAAATAAAAAACAAGAAGAAAAAACAAAAAACAAAAAACCCCCCATCTGAAGTCTGGCGAACGCCCCGACCACATACGGTACCGAACCAAACCAAACCAACCACCTCAGGATAGGTGGTTTCCCCCGGGGCTCGACGGGCCCTCCCGCTTGCAACGGTCCCGTTTCGGACAGGGAGTGCTGGGAAACCCTCACATCGCGTTTCTGCTTTGGGTAAGCCATGCTGTTGCCTTTATTCAGCATTATTCAGCACTTGGGACGACATGCCAACTCTTTCGCTTCTTCTTTGCTTTTTTCTTTGCAGCACCTAACGTGACGATTCGAGCGTCCTCGCCCCCCCCCTCCCCTACAGCATGGTTATTGACATCAATCAGAACGTCACCCACCCGCGCCCCCAAATGCATCATAGAGAACCTGCACGCCCGTATCATAACGTTGGCGATCGTTCCACAGATCGCAAAGACCGGGGCTCCGACTCCCGATCCCTCCAACTCCTCCCCCCCCCTTTTCTCGCCTGTTTTCGACGTGACACGACGGGATGGAGACGGTCAGGCGGACGACGCGGACGTCGCGGACGCGAGCACGCCCGGAATCTTTTAGAGGAGAGAGTTACACGCGAGCCCAAGCGAGATGATACAAGGCTCCTTCGCGCGATGCCGAAAAATCGAAGGATCACCGCCTCCTCCCCCCGACCGGCCGCCACCGGAATAGATACTCGCCTGGTTGGGCATCCGACGCCTGAGAGAGCCTGCACCATCACCCTCCCTCACCTAGCTGCTGGCCAATGGGGGCGGCCCAGACTGTCTTCGTATCCGCAAGAGATCCCACTTACTCTTCGGCAATCCTTGATTCATTACGCTAGCGCACGTTAGCCGCACATGTACACTACTGGATGGGCAGCACGCTCGCTTCTCTGTTCCTGATGTTCAGGAACACCGGGGGGGGGAGGGGGGCTCGGCGGGCGCGTTGAAGATCAGGCCCCATCATTATCATCACAAATCGCCAGTTCGAGGCGCCTCTCTCGGAGGGACAAGGTATTCCAGAACATCTGGCCATCCTGAGGAGTGGCAAATGCGCAGTCTATGTCCAGCTGGGGCATATCTAGGTAGGCTGAGACGCCAAGGTCGTATAGCCTGTCGCCATATCCCCAGGTGGTTTGGTTGAGAGAGAGAGCGAGAGAGAGAATCTCAGGGCCAGAGCGAGAGCGTGCAAGCTGTGACAGCGGAAGATCGCGAGCTACTCCCGTGGCAGCTGGGATACCACTTCCGCCAAACAGGGGAGGGGGGAACCCTAGGACGAACGAGGGGCGAAAAGTCACGGACATTGGATTTGGGGATGCATACGGCCCTATCTCTGTTCGATCCCCCCAGCGTACGGATGCCCATTCGGACATTTACGGACGCACGTACACCCGCATTCTCTCACGCATCTCGACAGCGACTTAACCGCCTGCCATGCCCCAAATCCCACTCCCCCCCCCAGCGCGCGCCTCAATATAGGTCGTCGCCCTGTTCTTGCCATGTGTGTGGGGGGTCATTTCATTCCCTATGCTGTTGTCTGCTTTCCTTACGGCCTTAACAGACGGGGGCAGATCCCTCCCACGTACCTACCTACAGTAGTTTACATCATGTTCTCACCCCCCTCCCCCTCCCCCTCCCCCTCCCCATTCCTGCCATTACCGCCACACGCCCTCCTCTCTCACATTTCCCACTCCCCCAACCCCATGCACCGCACCCATCACGCATAGCCTACGCTGCCGCACATCGCAACATCTCTAGCCCTCCAAGTAGTGGCATCTTGCATCGGGGGGAACCAAAGCCTCGCTCCCGCCGGGGACACCACCACCACCACCAGCCATCGGCCATCAGCCATCAGTCACTACGCAAGGGGGGCCCATCTTCAAGCCACGCCGCCGCCGCCGATCTCATCATCCCCCCCCCCCCCCCCAAACCGCCGGCGTATCTCCCGAGCATGTAGACCGCTTCTCTACCGTCCCGGGTTGTGTGTGTGCCCCCCCCCCCCCCCCCCCTCCCCCGGTCTTCTGCGCGTGCGCCTCCTGCGTTTGCGCCTATTTTTGGTGCAGTCGTTGGTCAGTCGTTCTCACACCGGGAGGAAAGCACCCGGAGAGCGCCTGCGCCTGCGTCTGCGTCTGCTGCGTCCTCCAGCACCAACGCCAGCGCCGCAGCCGGCTCACCTTCCCCGGGCTCGGCTCATCTGGAGATCCGGCTTCCCAGCGCATCCCTTTTTTCCGCCGAGGTGAACGGAAGGCAGGCTCTGGTCATTGGTTCCTTTGGGGAGAGTCGACCCAATAGGCCCCCCCTTCCGCTAACAGGCCAAAGGGAATGCTTGGGCGAGATGCAGGTTGGCCTGCATGGCAGCCCATTCCCGAAATTGCGAGCACTAAGGCAGGCTGTAGTCATCATTATGCGTCACGGTAACGACCACGGACGATTTGTGCATGAAAAACAAAATGGTATCAATAATTCTTAATCATCATACGGCACGCTCAGTAGTCCCACCACCGACGCAAGGGGTGCATGATACTTGGGATCCTTCCTATCGGCCCAGTCCAACATCGTCCTGAGGCGTCGAAGCCGAAAGAGAAAGGACCAACAAAAAACGACCCAACGCTTAATTCCCAACTCCCAATCCCAGTGCCACGCCTGACCATCGTTATTTCTCAACACAAAAGAAAACCCAGATGGCGCTGAAGAGTCTGATAACTCTCTGATGCGAGGCCTCCGCCGTCCCGAGATGCACACAACTCCCCCTGTCTCACCCCGCGGCCGGTGAAGCCGAGAAAATCCCTACGCGGACCCAAAGGAGACGAAAGAGGACAAGAGCAAAAGATGGAGAGACCACCCGCGTAAAAATAATGTTTTGCCTGCGTCGGTGTTTCCAGCCCGAGCTAGGCTACGGAAGAAAAAAGAAAAAAAGAAGAAAAAAAGGAAACCGCTCAACAACTTTCAACACCTTCGTACACGCTCCGTAGATTTGGAAAATACAACTCTGGCGCCAACATAGCATGGTGACCCAAGCAGTATACACCGCTTGAGTAAAGCAGGAACGAAACGACTCAAGTATAAAAACCAAGAGAGATAAACAGGAATAAAAAAAACCGAAAAAAAACCTCTTGAAAATTTGTTCAGACAACCGCCCTGATCAAGGAACAATAACCTTGGTGGAATTACTTTCTTTTCAAATCTCTTTCCGAACCAATATTTTGGCGCGCCGTTTTTTGTCTCATGGGAGTTACTCTGTCCCGTAACTTCTGGTGTGAGTGAGGGCAAGGTTGTGCTCTGTTACTTTTTTTTTTTTTTTACTCCTTACCGTTTCCGTGATATCTGCCCTATATGCTTCATTGTCGTATATTCATTCAGGAGATGTTGTGATTGGTTGCGTCGTAGTGCTCGTTTCGTTCGCGCTCAGTACATCGCGTGGGTCGACTGCTGGTACATGCGGTCACGGTAAGTGGCGGGCAAGCCGTCGTATCTGGGGCTGCTTGCACTTGAGGACTGGTCCATGTCGGTGTCGTAGACCTCATAGCCGTGCTGGTGGTGTTGCTGCTGCTGCTGCATGTACTGCTCTGGAGGGGGGAGTCGCTTCGAGCTGTACGCGGCTAGGCTGGCGGGCCCAGGAACGCGCTTGACGGGGTAGGATGAAGGCGCCGTCCTGGACTTCGCGCCACGGTTGCTGACCCTGCGGTCCTTGCCGCGACCCTTGATTCCCTTGTTGCTGTTCTTGTACAGGTTGGCAAAGTACCAGTACATCTCTCTCTGGTCGTCCGACAGGGCATCGATGTCGGAAATCGAGACGATCCAATCAGTCATCTCCATGAGAGTCTTCTCGTGGTACTTGTTCTGGTGATTCTGCCAGGTGGTACGTTAGACAATGTAGCCTACACACGAAGCAACACGCGTACCTTGAGGTTTCCTCTCTGAGTGAACATCTTGTTGCAGTCGTCTAGCTTGCAGACGAACGGCTTTGCGTTCGTATGTGTTGCCATGTGCGTCTGAAGGTTGCCGCGCTGCGCAAATACCTTGCTGCACTGCTCGCATCGGAATGGTTTCTCGCCTGTGTGGCGACGCATGTGAGTCTGCAAAGCCCGTTAGCCAAATTCACCAAGAATATGCAAAGATGGCGTCTTCTTACCTTGAGGTTACCCGGCTGCGAGAAAGTGCGTCCGCAGCGAGGCCAGTTGCATTGCTGGGATACGTCAGTACCGCTTAGATGCATTCTGTCCAAGTGTCAACTTACGTATGGCTTCTCGCCAGTGTGGGCGCGCCTGTGAGTGTCCAGGTGAGTGCTCTGGTAGAAGCTCTTGCCACAGCCTTCGACGTCGCAGATGTATCGCTTGGGCTTGGGGGCATCCGTGGATTCCGTTGCCACAGGTGCAGGTGCTTGAATGGGGGCAATAGGTCCAGCCTCAGGCTAATTCGGTGTTAGCGGATGCTGACACTGGACATTCCACCGAGACTTACCTTGGGGGACGACATGCGCTCTGGCTTAACAACCTGCTCAACCTCTGGAACACCTTTGACAATATCCTCTGAATCGTTTCTCTTCTGGATAGCCTTCATAAGGGTGTCGATAGCAGTAGTGAAGTTGACGGGATCCGCGCTCGTAGGCTTGTTGTACTTGATTTCCTTGGTGTTGAGCGGGTGAGGTGTCTTTGGGTTGCTCATCTTCGTCTCACTTCGACTTGAAGGACTCCGGTGCCGGTCGTTTTTGACAGATGGGCTTTCTTGCGGGTAAGAGCTAGCCCGGGGGATGTCGTGCTCTGAAGCTGCCACGGGCATGACTGGCCGCTCTTGCTGGGGCGGAAGTCTGAAAGGCATGTTCATGCTGGTCGGAGACGAATCGTACTGCGTGTAGGCGAAGTGGTTTTGGGTTGGGCACTGGTGCCCCATGGCCGGCATTTGCGTCATGTTGTACTGGGGAGCGACCATGTATTGAGGAGCCATGATGGCGCCATTCATGGGAGCAGACGTTGCCGCCCTCGAATCGTACTGTACGAAAGTCGAGTTGTCCATCATGCCATAGTCGTGGCCGGCTGGCTGTTGCTGCCAGCGACCCCAGGCCTGAGGCGCAGCTGTTTGCTCCGGCAGTGCCATTGAGACGAAGCCCAGTTGATGCTATAGCAGTGATAAAGATGGTGTAAGTGAAGGATGGCGTTTATAAGTAAAAGAAAGAACGAAGCCAACAGCGATGTGAATCGATTGGCTTCGACCTTGGAGAAAACGAGGCGCTTGCAGAGGAACTGAGCAGAACGAACAAGTGACCAAAGTGGAGGACTACGCCAAAGGGGAGATGAGGATTGATGGTCTTTCTTGTGTGAAGAGGAAGAAAGAAGGACGGAGGTAGACGAAGATAATGTAGGTTTGGGAAGATTCAAGAATGTATAAGACCAGAGAGGAGAGGGTGGATGTGCGACCAGGGTTGCGTTCTTGAGTCCAATCGACTGAATTGGGTAACGGAGATCTAGGCAGGACTAAATATACCAAGTCCCTGCAAGACCCAAAAGTGGGTTGATGAAAAGAAAGAAAAAAGAAGTCCAGAACCAGAACATGGAGAGATCAGTGGAAATCATGGACCCCCACCAAGTCGAACAGGATGGCACATAGTGTAGAAAAATAAAATAAAAAGCCGGGGTAGACTGGGCGGGTTAGAACCCGGTCGACCGCGGACGAGGGCAAGACCCAGCTTGCCAGGGTGGCCGGCGGACGGACGGGAAGAGGGGGGGGGGGGGGGAGGGAGGGGTGGGAGAAGGAGTGAAAAGAGGTGCTATACCCCTGCACGTCAGTTCAGAGGTTGTAGGCCTGGGACATGTCTCTTATTATCTGGCTACTATTATTCCCCTCTCATACATGGTGGAGGCGGCGGCGGCGGCGACGAAGAGCAGCAGGTAGGTATTTGGGGAAAACTGCCAGTCAGAAGAGACGCAAGACCCCAAGAACAAGGGGAAGGACAGCTCGAACCTTGGAACACAGACGCCAAGTATACACACCAGATGTACAGAAGCCTCGAGAATGAAGATCGGATGCTCGTATATAGACAGGTGAGACATTACGGAAGGGTGATTTCTGCGCAAGGACAAGGAAGTTGGAGATTGTCTAGCCTGGTGGTGAGAAGAGTCTTTTGGCCGGCATTTGCTCCGGGGGCAAGGCAAATGGCGAGAGCATGAAACAAGCATATTGTAAGTATCTCAAATAAAGACAACCACTGGAGCTTAGATCGGTTGCCGTGGCCTCGATCTGTGGTTTCTTATTCCTGGAGGTGGACGCACAGGATGGTGGTCATCCCACCTAGGACGTATACTAGATCCCGCCAAAATGGGGTATATACATGCTTGCTTTTCGTTAGAGACCAGTATCGCCGGGAAGGAGATGTTGCAGCCGGACGGCAAGGCGAGGTATGGGAGGGTGGTGGTGAACTTTTGGGAGAGGTGTCGAGACAGTGTGAGATGAGATAGAGATAGCGACGGAGAGGGGCACAGATTGTGCAATGGGCCTGGTGATTACTTTCACGTCGATGGACCATTCATGGAGAGAACTGCAAGCCACACGGAAACAGGGTCCTCTTCGCCGTGTCGAGTAGAATGTAAATGAAGGGTGCCATATGACGAAGGGTAGGCTAGGTATCTCAGTGTGAGGTGGATGGCTAAAACGAGGCCGATAACACACACGTAGGTGCCCATGACGATGGCAATCCGGGGGAAATGGTAAGTAAGAGAGAGAGAGAGAGAGAGAGAGAGAGAGAGAGAGAGAGAGAGAGAGAGAGAGAGAGAGAGAGAGAGAGAGAGAGAGAGAGAGAGAGAGAGAGAGAGAGAGAGAGAGAGAGTGTGTGTGTGTGTGTGTGTGTGGTTGAGAGGTGGAGTACAAAGTCGGGGGAATAGACGTGGCCTGATACCGGTACCATGGAGGAGCTGTCTCTGGGCGACAGGTAACGAGCATCTGTCCAGAAACTAGTTGAGATTCGAAGAGAGAGAAAAAGTACGCTGGCTGGAGAGTTGTCCAAGGTAGCAGGCTCAGACATCAGAGACATCAGAGACATCAGAGACATGTAAGACACAGTGAGACTGAGCCGGAGAGAAATGGCCCGGCATTCAGCAAGGGCGCCCTGTCCATTGGACTCTCAGTTTTCGTGCAGCAGGCGGGACTTGGATGCAAGTAGCACGACAGGGAGAGCGTACCAAGGGACGTTCCCAATTGGCACAAGGAAAGGAAAGGGGGTGGGCTGAGGAGGGGGGGGGGGGAGGGTTGTTGATGGACGACGAGATGGTTAGGGGATGTGCAGCTTGGTGTTCGGCTATGAAGTTGTACACCTCACAGCCGAACACCAGCTGCAGTACGTAGCCCAGAGCAGCAGCAGCAGCTGCTGCTGCAGCTTCTGCCCTGCTGCTGCCGCTGTGGTGGGGAACGCTTACATATAATATGTACGAGTATGGGTACCTAGGTAGGTAGGTACAGTCAAGTAGGGATTCAGTACGTACCTTGCTCCCCCCTGATGATGCCTTCCTCGCTGCACCTCTCTACTGTAAGTAGGTACTCGAGGCCCTGGTCTGACGGGTACGTGAATGGCGACAGGGCTGCTAGTCGACACACATGAGTACGTACGGAGTACCTACATTGTATATCAGCAGCGCCCAGGTACGTACATCTGATACCCAGGCCAGTACGTACTGAGGCGGACTCGGGAATATCCTTTTCCCACCCCCACCCCCCCCCCCCCCCCCTTCCCACTCCACCCTTTTTACCTGTCCGTCATCCTTCGTCCATCCGACCTTGCGCGTACACCCCCACACACTTTCTTGTCCCGAGCTCCCGTCAGGTCCCCTACCTTTGGCACTACAAGTCACTCAACTCCATTCAACCTTACTTGCCGGGACGTGCAGCTGCTGCTGACGGCTTCCTCCATCAATCGATCCGGTACATATCCTCACACCCCAAATTCTACCTGCCTCCCTCCCTGCTCGAGATTGCAGCCTGGGGCCGAAGCCGCCGCCAGCATCTTGCAACCCACGCAACACGCAACAGTGACCGCCGGTTTCTGAGCTAGACATCTCACCATCGTCCGCATGCTTTCTCCCTCTTTCTCTCTGTCGGGCCCCTTAGCAGTGCCAGCTCTGGCGTATCTCCTGGACCGTTATCGCCACTTTGTTTACTGGCCGGCTTTGTTCGAAACGCTTAGCTTATGAACCAAGCTGTTAGCACTTACTACAGTCCTCTAAAAAGAATCGCGTCTTCGGAGCCCGCTTGTCTCTCTCACTTGGACTCCAAATCGGGCCTAAATGCAAACAACATGGTCTGGGTACCCTGGCCGGCCCAGCTCTTCCCAATGGAGAAGACCCTGTGTTTTCCGCTGTGGCTGGCAACGCAACCCAGAGGCACAAATCTGATCGTCTCTACGGCCTTCGTTGTCGGCATTGCATCAGCACTACATCCCCTGTCGTTTCTAACCGAAAGGCTCGGCGTTCGAGCCTACTGAGAGGACCTTGGCTGGCATCCCGTCCCTCTGCCGCATCATGGGAACCGAGACCGTCGACTCATTCCATTCGGTCCCTTTCTTAACTGCAACTGCTAATCGCCTCATATGGCGCCTCTCTCCTCCCGCCTAACGCCACAATCTTCACATCCGTACGAGCCTGTGTGTGGCTTTTCCCCACTTCACATTGCTTATCAGCAGCCATGTCTGCCACTGTCCTCGTCACCCAGTGACAGGTCGCAATGACGCCTGACTTCCCGTCCGTTTCGAATGCTTCTTTGCAGCCTGCTTTGACAGACTCGGCGACCTGATTACCGGCTTGGCATCACTACGAGGCTGATGAGCGTCTACAATGGTTTTTGTCGTTTCTGGCCCCAGCTCCAAGAAAGCCATCATCAGTCATGATCGTGGCCCACACCCGAATTGCCATATCCAACGTCATCTTCGTTCCGGGCTTCTCCCTCACAAGACGGCCCCAGACGCCTCGGAGGACCAGCAGCAAGGCCGAGAAGCACAGGCCCGAGAGGCGTTGAATGGACATCGTGCCCGCCTTGGCTGGAATTGTTTTCATCTGCGCCAATGAGCGCCCGAGACTCGCAGTCGGCCGTCCGCAGACGAGGCAATGGGCAAAATCACGGAGTTTACCGGCCACAGCCGTAGAAAGATACCGAAGCTACGTACCCGTACAGAGCCTCCATGACGAAACGGCGACCCTGGTCGAACGATTCCATATTTGAAAGACGATCCTTCTGTCTGCATCACAACCCTCCGACTTTGCTGTAAAGCAGGGGGTTGAAGACGGTGGAGGCTGCGGTTATGTTTTTCGCAACCACGCACCATAAGCGGAATCTAGGGGTGTGAATGTGTGTGTGTGTGTGCGTGTGCCACTTCCCTGTGGTCCCCGGCGGCACCCTGCTCCTCCCCGCCTGGGCCGGCGATTTAGTTAGGTCACGCTGTGATCATGAATCCCAGCTCGGCACTGCTATAGCAGCCCATGTCGTTATCTGCCCAAAAGCCGCAACGCAGCGCCAAAAGGAGCCTTTCGCTTCACCCAATCATCCTTCTGGCTAGGCGACTCAACCACCCCAGACCTGCATCACGATAATTTGGCACACAGACAGGAGTTGCTATTATGGTTTTCTTCCCCATGGCTCATGTGCCACCACGGACGTCGGGTTGTTGAACTAGGCAAGTAGAGGCGAAGTCAGCAGTATCGCTACTCAAATCGCACCGTCTCAGTCCCGTATCAGTGGTCTCGATAACACCTCGAAGCATACTCTCTGCCTCTTGTTTCAAGTACCGGCATCGTATGAACCCCAGTGCCTTCTGAGCAGACGTCCAACACCTGGCGCTAGAGGTTGCCGTTTGCTGTGTATAAAAAAAAAACTAAAAAAAAAAACAAGAAAAACCCCTCAAAAGAATCTGCAGAAAGCATTCCATCATGCATGCACGAATCGAGGGGGGGGAATAGATCCCTAGCCCCTTGGCTCGTCAACTTGTTCACCACGCAGCTCGAATCTCGATACGAGTGGAGCAGCGCTAGCAACTCTAGACTCTCTTGTCAGCAATCCGATGCGATTTGATGCATAATGTCAACCCACGTGCTGCCCAAGAATCTTGCGATTCTGGTACTGTACCTGAGCTTATGCAGGCCGTGCAGTGGCATCGAGAATGGCACCGCCTAGAGTTGTTGTGCTGGTGCTCCGAACCAAGCAACAAGCCAACCACTTGAAGAGGCTTGGGACCATCCACACCCGCTAAAGGCACCACAACAAAAGCAAGCAGGGTAAAACTACGGCACCGAGCATCACGTCCTGCATCCCATATTCCGGGCCTGGAGCTGGCCAACCTCTGGTGCAAATCACGAGACCGAAAGAGCCGCACTACCGGTGCTTACTCCTCGTCCATCCAACTTGAACAACCGGCAATCGCCGAGCTATCTAGGTCGACCGGAGCCCTCTCGTGATTTCTGCTTTGCCGACATAGCAGCAACGGCTTGCTAGGGCTCGAGCGCATGCGGTCCATCATTTGTCATATTCGTATGGACCAATCAACATTTGAGGAGACTTCCGCGGCCTTGGCGGACGCACACTATTCCTGCAATACAACATGGACAACCCTCACATCGACCTCCTGGGGACGAGGAATACGCACGTATGGCCAGGTAATGATACATGGCTTGGCCGTCCCCCAAGATTGCTGCATTGTAGGGAACACCCGTGGATCGATCATGTTCTGTGCCTCGTCAGAAAGAGGTAGTGACATGATGACAAACGGGTCGTCTGAAGGGCACACGCAGCCTAACTAGCATTAGCTAGCTAGCTAGCTAGCTATGTGGCTGAAAGTTGGATTTTTCGCGCCACCTCACAGCACGCCAGATGCCAAATGGTCAGCTCAAATGTTGGTGCCCTCTCAGGTCGTCCGTGCAGTCTACGACGAGGCACTTTAGCTGAGGGGAACGACATACCTAGTGACTGAGGTGCTTGGGTCATGACAGGGTCGGCGGAACCACCACAGAACCCGACGTCGGTTACGGATCCGTAGGGGTCAATTATTGTGCGCCTGACAACCAGCTGGCGGGCAGTTGATCCGAGGAAAGCGAGTTAGCACTTTATAAACGAGTCGGGGCATCATCATCTTCGTCAAGTCCCCTAGCGGGATGCGGCAGCGGCGGCATAGACCCCCAGCTCCCACTGCACACTATATTACGGCAATGCCACAGTCAGTGAGGGATTCGAATCCCCACCCAGGCTTCCAGGGTACGAAGATTACTGAACAGAACTCGCATGGAGAGGTCACACACAACCTAGACAATTGGTCGACGGGCTGTGCAACGCCTCGAGGGTCTTCAGAAGGAACCGAACCCGGCCATTATTGCGAGGTTACCCGTAACACGTACACTAACTACCTTGGCTTGAAGGAAAATTGGAGCTCCCAGCAAGAAGAGGCAGCCGAGCCTTTAGGACCTTGCGGAGTACCGATTCTGACCAGGCGGTGTGTCATCGATCATCAGAAGCACCACGCCTAACAGAGGCGGCCTTCTTGTGAGCTGAACGGACCCTTGGGAAGACTAAAATGCGCATCGAGATCCAGTCAGTCGGGAAAGGAGACACCTGACAGCAGGGCACGCTAGCGGGTGTAAGCAGGTGGCAGCGAGCTGAACTGACCTAGACAGCGCGCCAACCAGAAACGGTTAGCCGACCGAACTGCAGGTACTGATATCGGTGCCCAGGTCCCAGCACTATGGTTGAAGGGCGATCATCTCCGGGTGCGCGACACGTCTGCTAGTACCAGGAACAGTCTTCGGATAGAATCGCGGAACAATGGTGGCAGGTAAGGGGCCAGCGTCGTGGAAATGGCTAAAAGAACCACATAGCGAACGAGGTGACGGTCCAAGATAGCCCCCATTGCCATGCACGAACTCAATTGGATCTTCTTCTTCGAGGTCTCGGGGACACTCGCCATCTACACTTTGGGCCGCCCGCCGGTGGCCATTCAAAGGGCATGACGAATGACGGGAGCAACGGGGCTCAATTGACACTAAAGACGGGAACAGCCACTCACACCAATAGTCCACTTGCTCGTCGACACAATGGGAACCGGGCCAGCCGGCACGGGGCGTTTCGATGTCTTCAACCCCCCTCCCCCCCGGCTCAGCATAGGTAAATCCGAGAGGGCGGTGTCAAACAGTGACGGCCATTGGTAGCGAGGCTCCCAGGAGAGCACCGATGCGACATTCCCAGCAGCACGACCTACCGGCTCGAGGACCACGGCTTTGCCCTGTCGGATGATAGTGAGTCGCTGCCGGGGCACGCGGGTTGGCGCCAGAACACCATTGTTCGCTACGGCGGGCGTTCATTTCCCGTTACCGCAGGAATCCGTGTCGCAGTCATAGGCTCCGATGTACCCGTGACGGTAAAGTCGGAGATGGGCTACCTACCGGCGACAACGGGCAATGCTTTTACCACATTTTACCACATCTGTCAAAACGTCGCCCTCGCGGCCCCGTTCATCACCCGATCCGTTTACTTTGGGTCGGTGGTCAGTTGCCCCGCAGTACGACAGACCTGGCACGACGGACGAAGCACATCCGGGACTTTGCCAGCGCGTGGCGATGGCCCCTCGTGGCATGTATGGCTACTCCCTGAAACGGGAGGCTAGGTCGCGGGTTCACGAGACTGCTCAACGGATGATGAAAGTGGGAGTTCGGCCCGTATTCTTTCAAAAAGAAATATAGAGGACTTTATCGGTTTTCTCAACGGCGCGGTTGCCGTTCCCGAAACGAAATCATGAAAGGCATCTAGTGATCGCCCCAACGACCCGTCCCGCTCATCAATGGTGGCAGTCTGCGAGCGATGGTCTCGACGCTAAGCCGCCATCTGAAAAGCATTTGGCGGATGTCTCTCACTTTCATCATCATCCACCTGTGAGTCGAAACGGCAAGCCTTGTCGGAGACGGACAGTCTTTCACTGTGTCGTCAGCACATCGGAAGGTCACTGCAATCTCGCTGTCTCTGGCGGACTGCCCAGCCACCAAAGTCTCGGACGACTCTCTAAGCTGCCATTGTTGCAGATCGACAGGTACTGTGCGGTTCTACTACAAAGTAGGTACGACTTCACAGGCTACGGCCGTAGGCTCCGTGCAGGATGCACCCCAGGCCGAAACGCACCTCGTACTTGCAGCCGCAGCCATCGTCATCGAAGGGCGTTCACATAGCCATCCAGCACCTTGACAAGATTTTCACCGGATATGGCTTCATTCATTCCAGCGCGGTTGCACGTCTTCTCTCTTACGCCAGGCCCTTTCGACGGTACCTGCCTGCCAGGTAGTGTGGAATAGGACGAACGAGCTGAAACTGTCGTCCCCGTTCGCCCTTATTTCAGCCTTACGGTTTCTGCCGTCGAATCAACATCTTCAGACGTCGAGCCGCCCCCCTGATCAAGGGTTATCGTTCATGCAGACGTACGAGACTTGTCGCCGATGGTTTCTTACGGAAACCGTCATAAAAACCGTCGTAACACAAATGCGTTTCATTCGGCCACCTGGAGCTCGCCAGCCGCGTTCGCCCCGGACAACGAGAAGACCCGCATCGACAACGAAAGCCACTCGGTCTCCGCTCGTCTTCACACTCTACCAGGGTCATGACACAATGGCCCGATTACTAAAAAAACCCGTTTGCACTACCGCGCCGTCTCCTAGCTGCGCCGATGACGGAAACCCCGAGATGCGTCTCGTTTCCCGATCATGCTGGGCCTCCCCTCCGTTCACCATCGGTAATTGCGTCCTTGTCCCTTCCAGCCGCTGCCGAGTGACAGACTTGGTTGGAGTGGATGATGGCGCAAATTTGCAGTCTTCACCATCACATATCAACTTTGCGAGATTTCCCTGCAAATTTCCCACCGACTCGGAAGAGCATATTCGTACACGCCACAGGTGCCAGAATTGGCTTGCTAGGAACCGGGGAAGCATGGTGTTCGACCCGCCGACAGGGACAAGGCCCCTTCGGCTTTTCGCAGCCAACGTGGCTATCCTCCCCTGTATCTGAAGGGTCGAGTAAACAGACGCGCGTCATGTCATGGGAAGCAACCCCACCTCCCCCGGCTCGTCCCCCGAGGCGCCTCAGGGGACGAGGAGCTCCTTGCTTTGGCAAGTCAAACTCGGCACGCGGCTCACGTCACTTATCATATGCTGGCCCAAGCTCTCGACCGCGTCGCATCCACGAGTCAATGCTTTCTGACGGGCCAGGAATCTTGATAGCCCACAAGGAGTCTGATGACGAATCTGATCATGACCGAGGTAGGCGGGCAGACTGATCGGAGCATCATTCGGGCGGTATCCTCGCGAAATGACCATAGGCCGGCCTCTCGTCGACATCCCGTCCGGCGATGCACGTCTATTTCGGGGTCCTTGAGACATGGCAAGAAAGAGAGTGATTAAGGCAAAGGGGCACTGCGACGCACATTGTCCACGGCAGAACGAACCCGAGGGTCCAGGGGCCGGCTCGCTAGAGCATTGGGCTGAGCTGAGACGGCCGTGCTCGCGCATACCGAGACTGGGCCATTCACGAGCCGCCACTGCAAGGGGCTTGCTTTCTTCGAGGCTCAACTCCCGCCATCTGGTTGTCCGCAGATGAAGGCGCAACTTTCTTCTTTTTCTGATCTCTCCACAGATCGATGGTGTGTCACCTAGTAGTAGTTCCGGCGGGCAGGGAGCTTCGGGCGCCACGTTCGGATTTTGTGTGTTTTGCTCTCTTGACAGGCGACCCAACCAAGATACGTAGGCAAGACGGTCCTTCGTACCCAACGCTGCAGCGCCTCTTGCGTCTGTTCCGACCACAAAACGGTCATCTGTTCGCGAGTCCCAGAGCCATGGCAATCCACCACCCCCCCATCTGCCCTTCTTGTCAGATCGTGGCACCGCCGATCTGTGAACTGATAGTTCGGAGCGAAACACTTGCACGATGGGAGAGGGCCAATGGGGAACAACAGGACGACAGCAGACGCTGCACGTCAGCGTGATCTGATCGACTTGACTGACGGGCGGGCGGCTTCACGCTAAGAGTCGACATGACTACGTCGCTCTGCTCTGCTCTGCTCTGCTCTTGTATCCCAAAACGACCCAACATCCGCTCTTTGTCTTCAGGTCTTCCTTGCGCGATTTTGTCGGCTGCCGTCGCTTTCTGCGGCAAAACGGCAGGGAAAGAAGAGCGCATGCCAGGCTTGTCATCATCTCCTGCAAAGACGCGGTTGAGATGTGATACAACTTCTCCTGTAGGGGTGAGTGCATCCCCGATTGCCCAGTGTACTGTGGTTGTAAACTAGGTAGCACGAGCCGAAGGAGATGTCTGAGCACCCACCACATCAGCTGATATATACCTATGAGATGCTTCTAGCGTTCTATCAGTCACCGACAGCCGGTGAGAGCCAATGGGCCACGAGAAAGAGGGACGGCGGAAAGGGTGAACGGGACACCCAGACGTCTTGTCCGATATGCTTGCCGGCCGCTGCCGATTACCCGGCATTGAAGGGATGATCGGGCATCGAGCTCACAGGTCAGCCGACCTTCGGAGGCTTGGGGTGGACCAGCCTCGTCCAGTCTCGCCCGAGGTCGATGATGGCGCGGGATGGGAATGTCTGAATCGCAAGCTTTTTGGACGATGCAATATGCGAAGCCACCTTTTCCCACGTCCATCGTCCATCGTCCATCCATCCAACCCCGCCAGGGGTGGGCAGTGTGATCGACGCACTTTTCCTAACCAAGACGAAGCTGCTCGGCGACATGGGTCCCTCCCAAGCACGATTGCAAGAGCCAGGACCTAGGTAGGTAGTCTGAGTCCAAGCTCACGGCATCCCGGCCACTCCACCCAAGTTTATGTGGTGAATGGCCCATATAACTCTAGTTTGATGCCTTTGCCCCATTCCTTGCGCTCCGAATGGGCAGCACGGGAGTAGGTGGAGTCCTCTCCGCCCATCACGACAGCCCTGGCTTTCTTTCCTCACATTTCTACCATGTGCTGCGCGCACAAGGAAAAGTTAAAATGTAACAAGGGGGGGGGGGGGAGGCAGAGAGATCTGCCCTCACTGCCCTAACAAGCAAGAATCGCAAACCCTTCCATTTTCGTCACGGCCGAGTTCCCCAATGTAGCAGCCTTGCCCCGAGCCACTGAGCTCTCGAGCAGCCCGTTTCGCACGTACACCACATGCATGTGCGATCCCGGTCCAAATAGGGGAGAATCTGACATGTCATCCAAGCACGATCAACCGACATGGACGGTCGATCATTATCTGAGTTGTACGTACGCGCACTGACGCCTCAGTTGACGGCCGAAAATAACGAAAAGAACAGGGGGGGGGGAACGACCTTGACAGGCCAAAAGGTACAGGGTCGGGGTCATACCTGTACAAGTCCCATCGTTCAAGGTCAAAGAGCACGGGATGAACATGGGACGGACAGCGATGGTGGGGAAGGGTAGGAGTGATGTCGCAGAGTCAAGGCACAATCGACAGCCGCATACGAACCCGATGGCGAAGCTCTTGTCTATGCGACGCCCGATACGAATTCGTCGTCGCCTCCATGTTCTTTTCGGACCCTTCTCCGCGCCTCCGGCCGGCGGCCGACGGGGCGACGGGGCGACGCGTATCACGGCTCAGTTTCTGATTCGGGAGGGCCCATGCCTGCGCCGACGTCGTCATCATCGTTATCGTTGTCGTTGTCGTTGCCGTCCCTCTCCGTCATGGCCATGGCGCTTCTCTACGCGGCCCGGAAGACGACCGGTTCATCATCCCCCTCCCCCGCCGATGCATGTGAGGACTGACAGTGCGACTGTTTGATACAACCAAGACCGCTGCAGAAACAAGCTAGGCAAAAATCGTCAAAGCAAAGGACGTTCTGGAAGAGTTTTCGCTACAGCAGTGTATAATAACCTTTTGCGGCCTTTCCTTATCCTTCCCGGCGCTATGCCCTTTGGACGACGTCGTCGCGAATATAGGTGCAAGTACGGATATAGGGCCTGCTGAATGAAATAGGTTTTGCCCTTCTGGGTTTTCACCTTCACTTCATGCCGGTTCTTGACGCTCACCCCCCTCCCTGGAGAGAGATGGAGAGAGATATATGCCCTTTCCCGCCTTGGCCCTGCGCTTGATGCCTTGTCGAGGCTTGGTCGAGGGCTGGGCCGGCTCGTCTTCTCTCGCATTGTTGGACGTTTTGAGTTGTTGTCCCCCCCTCCTCCCCCCCTGGTCGTCGAGCGGTCTGTGCTGCGCGAGCCGATCAGATCTGAGATGAGGGTAGGGGACGACTCCTGGAAGGTATATGCAATATGTTCCCAATGTTTCGAGGGGGCTTCACGGCTCTTTCTTTTCCCCAATCATCTACCGGTGGCTCCGGGGGAGGGGTTCTTTCCTTGCTTCTCGAGACAGACGGCAAATAGTCGTCGCGTGTTTCCCTACCAACAGCGGTGGGACCATGCGTTTCCAAGCCCTCGTGGCAATTTGATAGTGACGCCGGCACTGTTTCCTCTGTCCGTCCGTGAAAGTGTTCGTGCGCATGTCATATCTTTCTTGATGTGGCACATAGCTCCAGGGGAAGGGGGGGGGGGACGGTTGCGTGCTTCGGCCTGGGCCACGACTGTGTCAGATGACTCACGTTTCCTCTGTCCCGTCTGTCCAATTCCCGCACAATGTCCCCCAGCAGATGTTCTCAGCAGCAGGGCTCACCCAACGGCGCACGCGGGGCGTGGAGAATGAGTGAGAGAGGATGGCTCGGATTTTGTCAGCGGTCTTCCCCCCCCCCCCCCCCCCCCCTTGGACTGGCATCTCGCCATTGTAAGCCGGGACCGAGCGCGCAGACGAAAAAAAAAAAGGATGGAGTAAGGATGGACCGCGGACGGAATAGAGTAGGGATCATGCCTGTTCTGAAGCCGCGCACCAGAAACACACCAGGTTTTTTTTTTTTTTTCCTGAGCTGTAAACCCATTTGCCCCCCCCTCCTCGTCCTCTTCATCATTCGTCTCCGGCAGCTAGTGACAGAGATTCAGTTCATTTCTCTCCTCCCCCCCTGTGGACGGGTGATCTGCCCTCCTTGCACACGCTTCACCACAGCCGTAATTAGAGAAGGGGGAGGGAGAGATGGGGGGGGGGCCTTCCAGATGTGACCGCCTGATTTGCTCTTACTCCCGAAGGTCATCCTTGCTGCGTTCCCGGGCGAGAGAGGGAGGGAGGGAGAGAGAGAGAAAGAGAGAGAGAGGGCTGAGGAGCTACCATTGACGTCGGTTGGATGGATGGCTGGGATGGGCTGGGCTCGGGAGGCAACCGAATGGACGGGCACAGTGGGCGAGAGAGAGAGGTGAGCTCTCGAACTGCGATGCGATGCCGTTTCTGAGCATTCCTGAAGTCTGGTTGGCGGAGGAGACCAGAGGCGGGTTGACCGGCGGAAAGCAGGCCTAGCAGGAGATTGAAGAAGCAGGAAAGAGGAGACAAGAGGAGGACACATGTCGTGCGGTGACTTGACGTGTGGGCTATGGACCTGCTCGTCGTTCCACTCTTCCACTCCTCCTCTTCCACCACATCGCGAGTCATCTTCTTCTCCTTCCTCCCCCTCAAGTTCCACCCCAAAACTCCAAGACCGTGCGCGTTCCCTTCCACGCTCGCGGAACCTCTGATCCACGCCGTTGAGCTTGGATTTGGATTCCAACGTGCTGTGCTGCCCGTTGCTGTATCCCCGCGCCATCTGTACCCCTCCCCCTCTCCCCTCCCGGCTTGAAATGACGCTGTTCTCAGCTCTTTCCCGGCCTTTTCTTTTCTTTTTTCTTTCTTCTTTACCTTTTCTCTCCCGTACGCCCATGTCTCGAGTAGCGAGCGGGTGAACGAGACAAGACAATGGGCTCAGACACAAGACAATCGCGTCCCAGCACAGCCCGGCCTGCTACCTATTGTGCGCAGTGGCTGGCGAAGCAGCAGCCAGGCGCGGGGGGGGGGCAAAAGTGTAGGCACCTGGGAATGAGTGGTGTTGGTTGCTCGCCGCTGTCTGAGATCGGAAATGTTGACCCAATCGGGGGTTGCAGATCAGGAGTCTCTTGGCATCCTTTCTCCCAGCCCACGCTTTGCCCCCGAGTGAGGCTGCTTGGATGGGGACGGAACAGCTAAACACTGCCAGCTTTTCTCTGAGTCAGTTGTAAGGTGATCGGGGCTACTACTGGGTCAGCTGCGCCTGATCTCCCCCTCTTACTCTCTTGTGTATGGCCCGACCTATGATCTACTTGTGCTTGCTCGGCCTGCCCGTCGGGCTATTTGGATCCTTGGCCACTCACAGGCTTGACGACGATGCGAAGGCCCTCAACCTATCCAGTTACAACGACGAGAAGCAGAGGAGCGTGATACAGCAGTGTGAAGAGAGGGAGGGAAAGAAAAAAAAGGGGAGAAAGAAAAAGGAGGGAGGGGGTTTGGAGAGCCCGAGGACATGGATCACCCCCGAGACTTTTCGTTCCTGAGGATTCTGTAAGACGTGACAGCGGCGCTTGTGGGCGAGATTTGACAGTTTTCGTGAGATCCTGCAGCTGTCCATCGACCCCTCATTCTTTTTCCTTTTCTCTTTCCTAGTGTCATCCAGTGCGAGCTGCATCATGCCGACTGCTACGAGAAGAGGGAGGAAGAAACGCTACCGGAAGGCAGAGAGAGAGAGAGAGAAAGAGAGAGGGAGAAGGGGGGAGGCTGCAGAACATTGTGTATCGTGTAACGTTGTGTGAACACGTGTGAATGTCCGAACTTCTTTCGTCGAAGGCAGCAGGGTGTGGGGGGGGGAGGTCTCGTTGACGCGAGGCTGCCTCAGTTTCCAATATCACGATCATGCAGTGAGGGGATGGCGGCTTCTTTCTCGCTCATTGGGGCGTCCATCAGCTTAGATGCCTGCTCCCTCTCGAGATTACGCTCGATCGCCCACCGGAGACGATGCCGTGAAGGTGGCGGGTGGTGTGCTGTGTTGACTCTGCCGGCTGTCTTCCGCGACAGGGCAAACGTCGAGGACAGACGTAGGAGGTGACATGTCAACTTTGTCCATCCTTGTCTTCTCGCCTTCCCCCACCCCCTCTATCCGTATCCTTTCTTCCTTTCTTCCTTCTCGGCGGAAACATCCTCGTGGCTTCGGGGGCGGGGGCGAGAACAGGGAGTTTACCATGTCTCGCGGGAGGGCGTGTAAGACATCCTACACCCCAGCAGGTATCTCGTGTAATTCATAATCATGTCATGAATCATCTGCTCTCTTGATGCTGCATGTCTCGTCGACTCATTTAGGGAAAGGGGGGTTCCGCCCACGTACATGGTGGGCGCTGGCGAACATTGTCTTGTCTCGGACGAGCAGTCCCTCCCCGCGCGCCGGCGAACGAGCGAGCGCGCTTGAGACGTGGAATTTTCTGTGCGTGTATGTGAATGCCCCTGCCCTCTGCCCTCTCCAAAGAATTGTGTGCCGGGACTCTGAGAGATAGAGTGGGGTGATAGAAAGGGTCCGTTTTGCTGGGTCTTGTTCGTAGTTATTGCGACATGGTCGAATCAAACATGTGTTATTCTCACAAGGACAATCTTGGTAAATGGGCCTTTGAAACCTGGGAGATCCTGTCAGGTGGCAACTCGATGCTTTTTCCTTTCCCCTTCCACCTTTCAGGGGGTTGGCTGATGTCTGATAGAACGTGCGGAATCCGTGGGTTGGTAGCATCCCGCGTGAAGTGAGTAACCAGTGAGGCACTTTGGCTCCAGACTTTGGGGGCTTCTGCCTATTCCGGGTTCGTTGCGGCAATAACCACATTCTCACAACCTTGTACATAGAGAAGGAGTTTCGGCCGTGGGAGCACAGGATCTTCCTAGAAGAGGGTGAGCGAATGACCGGCAGAACCGTCTCCGTGTTTCCCTTCCCGTAGCCGTTCATGTCGATACCCATATTTGGGATTGGATGTTCTGCGTTTGTCAACGAAACTTGCGGCCCACCCGAGTATCCCAAATTTGTGTTTGGGCCATCTTCTATTTGGGATTTGGTCAGCATGTATAATCAATGAAACAATCTTAAACCCTTGATGTCTTATTTCCCTTGCTTCGTTTCCGTGGACTGCGGCCTCGGTTCTTTGTGTTGCCGTGAGCTTTGTGCCCCCTTCCAATGTCCATTGCATCTACGATGGCCACAAATCAAGGGTCCCGAGCGAGGCGAGCGAGTGCTCTGCCGTCCGATGCGCGAGCCTTGAAAGTTCTTTAAGCGAAGAAGCAAATCCCGCCGGGGAAGAGTTTCGCAAAAGGACTATTCAGTCCCAGATTGAAAACGAAGGAACTTGTTGGGGGTAGTTTAGTCGAAACGGCGCGAGTCTCGTAGGCTGGCTTCGAGAACCCGGCTCGAATGCGGATGGCTTCGGTGCCCCCTTGATCAATTCAGATCTGCTGATTCCCGGCTGACAGGACGGGGGAGGAACGCATTCTCTCCCGGCAAAGCAAGTCTGGCATGGAACATTCCATCGGATAGAGAAGTTGGATTCGTTCCCAGTGATGGGTGGCCGGCGCCCCTTTCTGGAACGGTCGGCCATGTGGGATTCCAGAGGCTGAAGGTCACGGGGAGGTGAAAGCGACCGTCTGAAGCCCTTTCAGTCACACGATATTCTTTTCTTTCCGTTTGATCTGACTTTCTTACCGAGATCGCCCGTTCTATCGATCCTTCTCTCCATCATGTTCGAATGCCAAGGCAAGAACAAGTGAGGAATCAGTTTTATGACAGCAAGCGGGACACTTGTGAAAGTGATATCCGTTTGGCACCACTGGCCTTTCTACGGAAGTCGTGCCCAAGGTCAAAGGTATACTGGAAGGTGGAATTTGGCCGAGTAGCCCATGGAATTGTTGATCATGTAGACGTTTGTGCTGTAGTTCTTGGCCAAGGCGATGTAATCTGCACACTTTCTGAGAATTAAACATCTGATAGAAAGCAGTAGTAAGACTTCGCGAGAACCTCAGCAGCCTGTCTCGACTATTGTTTAGATGCGAAAACCCGGGGCGAAAGCTGCTAGAGTGCATGACGGGCAACTGTTTTCTAGCAGTCGGAAGTCCATCACACGACCCGACTTTGTAGAATGTAGACTCGGGTCATCGTGAACAAGAACCGAGCTGGTACTGACAAGTAAATCCGCCCTGCTTAGCTTTGCTATATTCGTTTGATGTTTCCGAGACGATTCATCAGCCCTTCAGCATCATACATGAGCTCTTGGCCAAACAAGAAACTTAACGTACACGGTACCTCTATCCAGACACTGTCATTGCAATATCAATCCACCCACTGTGAGAGGTAGAACTTGACGTTCTCATACACGAGGAAAGTGACCCATGTAGCGGGCATTACCCTCACGACGCCCGGCATCAGACCGCGATAGAAGCCCCTGAGACCCTCCTCCTGCCAAATTCTCGCCACAACGCCGCGGATTCCACGTCCGAACCGCTCGTCAGCGTCGTAGTTCTGTAACCGACTCCGTAGCACCTGGTAAGGGTACGTCACCGCGCCAGCGACCAGCTTCGCAGCGCTCGAGATGACGACGGTCGCCTCGTTGCTCAGGCGGCCATCGCTGTCGCCCTTACGCTGCCTGCCGGCGAAGTACATCTTCTTGGCGGGCTCGTATACGGCGAACTGCACGGCGCCGTGGGAGACGCCGATGAGCCCGACGCCGAGCCCGCGGTAGAAGCCGCGCCAGCCCTCAGAGCGGTACAGGACCTTCGCGCCGGACCACATGCTCTGGTAGGCCCCCGCGGCGTTGCGGTCCGAGGAGACCATGCGCGTCTTGATCACCCAAACGGGGTTCGTCAGGACCTGTGTGAGCGCCCCGGCGACGGCGGAGGAGACGAAGAAATCCTGCGTGGTGAGGTACTCTTTTGTCAGGTTCGACGCTTCGGGGCCCGAGCCACGGTTCAGGGGCAGGTAGCCGGCCTTCCAGTAGGCGATGGCGCGCTCGACGCGTGACTTGAAGAAGAAGAAGGCGGACCAGCTCGAAGCGTTGCCGATGAGGTTCGGCGTCAGGCCGCGGTAGAGTGAGGCGACGGGGTGCGGGTTCTGGGTGAGTGTGCGGATGAGCGACATGGTTGTCAGCGAGACGGACGGGTTGGCGGCGCTCCGGTGAACTGGACTTCTAGTTAGCCAGCTGCAAAAACGTTGGACAGTACATAGTCCCCCCCCACTTACTCTGCATCCGCGTCTTGACGATATCAAGCGGATGGACTACAAGAGTCGCAATCGAGCCTGCCGAGAGACCGGCGATGGACTCGACGAGCGCGGGGGAGATGCCCGCATCTTTGCTTTCTGACATAGAAACGAGGGACTCTTGGTCACATTGCAGAGTACTGAAAACAGAACAGTGCTTTTTTCGCCAAACCGAATCGTCCTCTCAAGCTCAAGTTATGTGTTGAAAGGAGCTCAGCTGAAGCTTAAGTGTGGCTGATGACACCCTCGGTCCAGAAAAAAAGAATTTCATACGTCATTTTAGCTTGTAAAATTGCGGCTCCGCTGCGTTAATTCGTAGCTTCAGCCACAGTCAAGCAACCCCCTTTGCCGGGTCACCATGATGAGCAATACGTCAACGACTCTTGAAGTCCTGGCTTGCAACGCTTTTTACGCTTTTTTGGAGCTATTGGTCATGCTGTCTCTGAGCGACAGGCTTGGAACATTACTAGACAAACGAGGCGCGTAGGGTTGCGTAGGCTAGTTGGCAGCCGTTTTGAGGTCGGAGCTAATGGGCTCGATACGATTCCCAATTTCATTGACTGATCGTGATTAATTCATATCTGTCATTGGTTTCCGTAAATCTAGCCTGTTCCAGATGATTGTCCCCCCACAGATAGCCTTTACAAAAGCCGACGTCTCAGATATACCCAACAACCACCTGGTGGCCCAAAATCGCATGTGGTATCTCTACGTGTGTGCAACATCGGCGCCCATCTGTGAGCTTGCCGTCTGTGTCTCATAACATGCGAGAGGAGTGTCGTCAGAGAGGGTTCATTTGATTACATAGGTAGTTGTACAGTTCGCCGAGGCCACGGCCCGAAGTCACCAACCGCCCACGCCGGGGATCGATCCATCGCGTCAACCCTGAAAATGCCGGCCTGCCTGTTCTGCGTCGGAAGCCTGAATAGTGTACATGAAGTCGATGCCGAAGGCGCCTGTCGTCTAAGAGAGAGGGGAAAGGAGGCTGAGGAGGAGTTAGAACTTGATCCAACGCTCGTCGGTCTGACAACTGGAAAACATACCGGATGACAGACGGGCGGGGCTCGCTGCGGGTGTAGCCTGGGAACGGTCAGTATCGTCGCCATGGAAGAATGCGTCAGCTTTGATGGCTCGTTCGTACCGAGGTAGAGGACAAGAGGGAGGTATCCGCTGCGAGCACGTTAGTATCGCGGTCAATATCAATCGATTCTGCGGCAGAACATACTAGTGAATGGCAATGCGGGAGATCTCAATGATCTTGCCAATGCGCTCCTACAAATGTGATGATTAGATTCGGGTCGCTGCGGCGTGGTACGGGCAACGGGCGCATCGCACCTTGGACTCCTCGGAGAGGGCGAACATCTTGACAGCTGGAATGGGATGTCGACTGAATTGAAAAGGAAGAAACGGCTGATCTACGCGATGTCGCAAGTGTTCGTTCGCCGGGGCTCGCAGGTTTCTCGTCGTCGCCGCGTCGGGATGGGCAATGGTGGATGCGCTGGGCAAAGTTGCACCTGAACTTTTTCTCAACCTGCCGGAAAAATCGCGTAGTGGAGCCACCCCGGAAGAACCACGCAACTGCAAAGGAGGTCTGGCTTATCGGACCTTGCTTGGAACTCGATAAGGTACGTACCTCCGCTAACTGAGCTCGACACCGCGTTGAACGTCGAGGCCGAAATTTCCAGGTCGCTCGTGTCGAAGCCTGGATACAGACACTCTCGCCTCACGCACCCAAACATCCTGCCATATCTTTCACTACCGAAACTAGGTCGCGCAGATAGCACGGAGAGCGTCGAATATTCAAAATGGCACAAAACAGGCATTGGTGAGCTTCAATCGCTGTGCCCCGCAACCCTTCGAACGGAGAGCTAACCGCACGCGACGTAGGGAACAAGACAAAGATGCGACCATCTACATCGGTAACATCGACGAGCGCGCGAGCCCAGCCATGGTCTACGAGGTCATGCTACAGATGGGCCCCATCCACAACATCCACATGCCCCGCGATCGCGTCACCCAGAACCACCAGGGCTTCGGCTTCGTTGAGTTCCGCACGCCGAGCGACGCCGAGTACGCCGCCAACGTGATGAATGGCATCAAGCTCTACGGCAAGTCGCTGCGCGTCAACAAGGCCAGCGCCGACAAGCAGAAGCAGGCAGAGGTCGGTGCCGAGTTGTTCGTCGGCAACCTCGACCCGATGGTCGACGAGAAAATCCTCTACGACACCTTCTCGCGCTTTGGTCCGCTCGTCACCCTCCCCAAGGTCGCCCGCGAGGATAGCGGCAACTCCAAGGGATTCGGCTTCATCTCCTACGCTGACTTCGAGAGCTCCGACGCCGCCATAGCGAACCTCCACGGGCAGTACATCCTCAGCAAGGAGGTCTCAGTTCAGTACGCCTTCAAGAAGGACGGCAAGGGCGAGCGCCACGGTGACGCCGCTGAGCGTGAGCTGGCCGCGCAGGCCAAGAAGAGGAACATCGTCCCGGAAATCCAGGCGGTGCCGCCCGCATTCCTGAATGGGCCGCCCCCGGCTGCCGCACCGACTGCACCCGCCGGCTTCGATCCCTCAAACGGCCTTCCAGCTCCGGTACCCGGCCCCGGCGCCCCTGTCGGCTTCGCACCCCCGCCACGAGGACCTGCACAGTACAACGCCGTACCGCCGCCTCAGGCCATGGGTGGCCCCGGTATCGGTCGTGGCATGGTCCTCCCGCCCGCGCCGTCTGGTCTGCCAGCCCGCCCGCCTCAGTCTCAGGGATCGTACACCAACCCCGCCGACTTCCACCCGGGCGCTCCCGGATTCCGTCCACCCAGCGGACCTCCCGCGCCTCAGGGTTTTGCCGCCCCTCCCCCCGCCTTCCCCATCCCCCCTCCAGGCCCATCCGGCACGCCGCCCGCGCCTCCTGGTTTCATGCCTCCTCCGGGTTTCAACCCTCACGGTTTCCCTCGACGATGAAAGGAGTAGAGAAGGGAAGTCACCACGTGGTGGCGCGTCGACCACCAATACAAAACAAAGCCACCGCTCCGATGGAGCAGCGCTCCAGGGAAGCCCTTGTAGGGCAACGTCGTTTCCAGAAAACAGCAGGGCGTTCAGGATGGGGCCTTGCGAGGATTTGTCAAAAAAGCGAGTTGAATCAAATTGCAATGGTCTGTCTTCGCTTCGAATAGACGGGTTCGCCATTGCTAACGTTGTCTAGATATTCACCGCGCGAGGCGGCCACAGTAACGCAGTGGTGGCGTGTCGAGCCCGAGTGCCGGATGGGAAGTTTACGGGATCTTTAGTCAGATAGTATCACCAGCAGACCACACCCATGGAAGTCAAGGGTCTTATTTGCCCCGAGGTAGTAAAGAAGTAATGAGTCCTCCATATAGCACAGGCAAATCATTTCGTGTTCGGTGCCAATTTATCATGATGCCACTGTCTATATGCTCCAGTCAATGATTCCATCGCCGTAACAAGCGATAACAAAATGGCGAAAGACACAAGGTAGAGATGAGTAGCCGCAGCACATGGCTTTTAGTGGTATCTTCTTTTGTACATGGATTACATATGATAGGTATACAAGTATAACACAGCCTCTAATCCGTGAATCTCTATGAATCTTTGGGCTCATCCCATGACAGCGGCTTCCACTGCTTTTGGTGGCTAAAGGCCACATCCCAGGTCATGGGCGCCTCCTCGCCGACAACATGGACTAGCGACTCCTTGCTCAAAGCATCCTCCTGCTTGCGGAACTGCTTGCCCTTCTTGCTCATCTCCTCTAGTTTGCCAGAGAACATGGTGTACCAATTCCTCTCCCGGTCAGCGCCGCTGTAGGGGTTAAGCACCTTCTTTCGTCTCTCCTGGATCGAGCTGTATATCGTCTTTGCGCGCTCGCTAGGAATTTCCTCGACAGAGTACTCCAGAGACCAGTCCAAATGTGAAAAATTGGGGCTGGGCCGCGGCACGTATTTCCCGTTGACATTGTTGCGGACCGTCACCACCATACCCAGGAGTTCGCCCTCAGAGATGTCGAGTTCAGTGTCAGCCTCTTCGCTCTTCGCTCCAGCATCACTGGCGGCTTCTTTGACAGCTTCGGCCGCCGCAGCCACACTACCGATTGTGGACTCGAGATCCTCGTTGCTCTGAGTCGAAGGGTCGGCGGTCTGTGATGTTATCGAAGATGCCGAGTCGCTTTCTACCTCCTTGGACTTAGCCACAAGCTCGGAAAGGATCCGTTCGAATGTTCGGAGTTTGGAGACGTCAGAAGCGGCGTCGTCGTCTGGCATCTCAGCCTCTTCAGCCTCGGGCTTCTCGTCGACACGCGTGGCAACACGAAGAATGAGATCCTTCAGGCCAAGATCGCGAGAGCCGCGTACCTCAGAGTCCTGGCGGTTGATGTTCGGAGGGGAGGATTTTTCTCCATCTTGCGTTGTCTGCGCTTCACTTGCATCTTGTGTAACCGTTGTCTCTTCGCCGCTCGTTAGCGTAGCCTCCTGCACGGTGTCGAGACCGTCGGCTTGAGCAGAGTCGACTGTCGAAGAGCCAGATTCAACGGCAGGTGTCTCAACTTGCTGGTCATCCTTGCGATCGCTCTCGCGCATCTCGCTAGCTTGATTGGGAGTGAGAGCCTCAAGGAGGCCGTCAACATACCAACGTGCCTCCTCCGGCGTCCGTGCCTTGAGAAGACCGCTCTGCTCGAGTGCGTCCTGGATTGCCTCCCGAACGTGACCAATGCCAAGGGCGTCATCCTCGACCGCCTCATCCACCTTCTCCTGCATCTCCTCCCAGAAAGCTTGCGTCTGCCGTTGCTGGTTCGTAGCTTCGTCGACACTAACGCTCGCTTCTTCATGGCTGACTAGCTGCTCGGCTTCCGACTCCGGTGCTTCGAACTCCGCCTCTTGTTGGGCTAGGCCGAGAATCTGCTGTTCGAACTTGGCAATGGCGGCCTTGCTGGAGTTCTGGACCTTCTCGATCTCCTCTCCTGTGACGGGCTTGGCGAAAACGTACATGAAAGGAGGGTCTGATGGCCGCGTTTCTACGTGAAGGCGAATGGAGCGACCGGGAAACCGCTCAGTGGCGCGGTCGAGGACCTTGTTGAGAAGATGCAGACTAAGCTTGAACTCTTGGTCGCCGAGAGAGCGGTTCTCAGTTCCGTGCAGAGCCAGGTCCATCTCATCCAGACTAACGTACTGGAAGCCAAAAATGCGCCGAGTGTTGTGAAAGGCGACAAAGATGCCATCCATACGGCCCATCCGCACTTGAAGAGAGTACTTGAGAAATGCCGCTCTAATCATGTCGAAGTATTCCCGCTCGAACGACTCCCAATCGCCGAACCGTTTGCGAATCTCGTACCCGAGGCCTTTCTGGAATCCCTGGGCATCCATGCGAATGGAAACGACAGCTCTCGTCTTAAGGTCGAACATACCAGTCCCCGGCAGGCGTGGGTCATGCGCGTCGAGCTGAGATCGCATGAGGAAGTCGCCCATGGTCGTGAAATGGAAAGCTTCATTAGCGTTGCGCTCTTCCTCGCTGATCTGGTCCGAGTTGACCCGACGGTATTTCTCAAACTCATCCTTGGGCAGTGTCAAAAGCTTCTCCATAGACTTTCCAAGCATGCTCAGAATGTTGGCCGTGTCGTACTCCTTGTCTGCATCAATGGCGTATACATCATCTTTCAGGTGGAGGAAGGCGGCAGCTGGCGCGCGCATGATTTGTGTGAAGGATTGAGCATCCGTGTTTAATTGCCGGCTGAGATTAGAAGCGTTGATCGGTCGCCAAGCAGAGAGTAGATAGTGGAAATGCGATAGCATCTGTGTCATGCTGGAAGTCGAACCGGTATATTTCCTGCGAAGCTTGGCTGCAAGGCCAACCAAAGTAGTGTCTTTGGAAGAAGTGACATACTGCTTAAGCGCGTTAAAGTCGAACTCGTTGATCGGCATGATGTTGGCGAGGTAAGGGTCAAAGTTGTAGACTCGCGAACGAGGGTCTTGCATATGGTAAACTCCAGGATTGAATAAGACCCTGTCCAGCCCATAAGAGAGGCTTGGTACTGTCGGCGAATCCGGTATTTCAATGGGCACCAACTGAAGTTCCTTCGCCGACACACTCTGGACATCGACGGGAAGCTTTCTCGACGTCTTTGACCTCTTCGCCGGCCTATTTGCAGAGGACTTGGCAGTTGCGCTTGAAGGGTTATCACTGGAGGAGCCAGCAGCATTAACAGCCGATGCGGCTGCTGCGGCTGCACCTGCCCCAAAAGAGGTTTTGCCACTGCGAGACAAACGGTTTGTAAAAGATGTCCATTTATCGAATTCCTTGGGGGTTTCGAAAGTGAGCCTGTCGAAAGTGCGCAGCCTGTGTGGATATCTTCTGTCCGTTTCTACTTTGCGAACCGTGATCTTCGAGTCCGAGGTTTCAGCTTCACCAGGTCCAGCACTCGATGTTGGTGATGTTGGTGATGTTGTTTCTTTGGCCGACTGTGCTTTTGCGGTTTTGGACAAGGGCTCATTTGCAGTCGGTCGCTTGGCCAGATGGTCCAGAGGAATTTGCTGCGAGTTCAAGACGCTCTTGAGCACGTCCAAAGTCCCGCGTATCGTCTTGAGCCTCCCGCCCATCTTGTTTGTTTGCCGTATGACAAGCGAGTCCAGCCCTCGCGTTTTTGATGCATTGCCAGAGTCCTTATCGGTGACCGTAATGGTGCCACCCTGTGCCCCCTTCTGAACGAGGGAGAGTCTCGAGTTGATAGAGGCGAAACCATCCTCAAGGTTCTTCAATGATTCAAACACTTGACGTATGACTTCGGGACCGGCCGGTTCTTCGATCGTCGTCGAAGGGGACCCCGAGGTGGCCTTAGAGGGTGTAGCCTGATTTTTCTTCTTCTTCTTCTTCTTCTTCTGTCGACGAGAACGAGTGGTTTTTGCGCGTGCGGATTTTTTCTTCTGGTCGGTCTCTTCGTTCGGTGGCTTTGCTTCCGTAGGATCTATCTCATCTGGAGCTGTTGATGCCTTTGCGCTGTCTGAGTAACCACGAACGCTCACCGGAACGGTGCTCTGGAACAGAGGTGGTAGAGAACGACATGGCGGCGAGAGACAAGGTCTGCAGGAACCGCACAGGTAAGGAGTTCCGAGCCTCCAGAGGCGTTGGGGGTTAATACGAAGCATTGGAAGAATTGTTGTCAAGATCCCCAAGGCGCAATGGGGAGTTGAGCAAGGTGAGAATCAGCTAGAAGTTGCTTGGGCAATTTTTTTTAAGAGGTGCAGCAACCAACGACGGGACGCGGCACATTACGCGCGCCAGAGACCCACATGTGCCCGTGCGTGCGTGCTGTCCATTAAAGAGAGAGAGGACGGAAATCTACAAATGGATCACAGTGCGCTTTATTGCGGCAATCTCTCAGTTCTGTGCAGCCTCTACCTTTTAACAACAAATTGAAAAGACCCGATCTCGGGGTCCATCATCTCCTGATCAACATCGCCACCTCATGTCGCGACGTACATATCGGGGGGTATTATGCTTTCCCAAACAACCAACTTATGCCAGGCCGAACACCGTACAAGACCAGACGCCTGTCCCAAAGCCGTGAACACATGACCCTCACTCATCCGAGCCTACTCCTTTCCAGTAAATGCGTGAGACGCATAGTCTGTGGCGGTCTGGCGTGCTGAGTCTGCGTCCGCAAATAGTGCTTGGACTTCAAAAGAGTCGGCTAGCATGCCGTCTGCGACGCTCATCCAGAGCAGGTTTCCACTTCGCTTCGCCTGCGTCGAGGCTGCCCTTGCACTCTTGAGCGCCTGCTCGCCAACCACGTTGTCAAACAGTCTAAATCGCATAATACTGAGAGCGATCGCCAAACAGTGCGTGTTGCCCGTCACCTTCGAACCGTTCAACGAGTTCGTAATACTCGTTTTGATCTGGTGCATCGACGGAGGGGGCAAAGTACTGGCTGTCGCTTGGACGAGATTGAAAGCGGTTCGGATATCTGGATCTTGGTGATCGGTGCACATCGGCCGCAACTGCTCCAACAGATCGGTGGATGTCAGCTCGTCGCGATACGACGAGTCTTGGAGAATCCAAATACGATTCAGAGCGGCAAGAATGCAGAGCTCCAGCTTGGCAGGCTTTCTGCCACCTGGCCCTCCGCGGCCTGCGTGAATGCTCAGCCTCTCGTCTTCAAACAAGATAAGCGCCGTTTCGAGGTCGCCGGTGCCTTGATGATACACTCCAGAAAGATAGAGTGAGAACACGCTGAATATCTCGTTCACAGCGGGCGTAATGGCCTGCTGCAGCTGCGCCACGCACTGTTCGACTTTCGACCATTGGCTGTGGGTTGCAAAGTACAATCCCGTCAGCGTTTGAAGGTAACAGAATATCTCGGTTCTCCACTTAGCCTGCTCCATGGCTTCTCGTAGCGATGCCGCAGGGACGCTGGGGGCAATCTCCTTGTTCCCTTGAGAAAGTTAGTGGCTATTCCCATGAGCAAACAACTCATACTTACACTTCGCCAGTACATCAAAACCTTCTTTCCAAAACTCATGGCTTCTCTTCGGATCCGAGCCAGGCCGATACATGCCGGCCAAACCGCTGAAAGTATACCTATATCTTGTTAGCTAGATTGCTTCGGGAGAGCACCAATCACACGTGAACATACGTTAAGACAACGATCTCGAGTCTGTTCAGGAAAGTCATTACGATGTAATCATGTTGGCCGTTCGAGGACCCAGCCCGGAGAATCGCGGAGGTGTCAGCGCTTAGAGTCGCGGAAGTAGCGTTGTGTTTTTTTATGGGGATCAATATCTCCGGGTTCAAGTCGGTCCAGGTCTGAGACCCCAGGTTCGCATCCAGCTTCGCTTGCAGTGATCGCAATTTGTGGATTAGTATGTCGGGCGTCTTCTGATGCATACTGCAAGCAAGATCGAGTAGGAGTGTCAGGACGTCCAACTGCGGTATTTGTACTGACGGGTCCAATTGGTACTTCGTAGCCTGAGCCAAACAGGTTTGCACACGTTCAATAGTGTCAGTGCGCATGGTTCTCAGAACAGATAAGCCTTCCATAAGAGAAGCAAAGACAACCATGGCGTGATCGCCTCGTTCGCCAGCAAGTGCAGCAACCGCTCGCAAGTTGTCCAAAACTGCGGCATCAGGCGGACTACCCGCATGGACATGGAGTGTGGCCTTCAACAAACGAAAAGCGTAAACCCAGTGAATGTGTTTGAAACTAAGTACTAATTAGCGAGCGGTGCGAGGCTGGTCGGGACATCGCGAAGACTACACACGTCAAACAGTCCGAGATATTCTTGTCGACAGCAATGAAGGCCGCCTTTTGGTTACGCTGAAACAGTACCTTCAGTAGAAGATACTGCATGCAGTATTTGAGGTCCGTGTATCTATGCTCGGGGGTTGTCAGCATGGAATACAGCCTGAGCAGCATCCGAGTCTCACGAACCTTGTCACATATGGTTATGCCCTTACTCAAGGCCGTTTCCGCTTCTTGCAGGTTCTCCGTCTCGTCGCATAAGATAGAAGCATATCTGAGCCTCGCTTTCGCCTCCTGCCTTGGAGACAGTCTGTTGCTCTGGAAGGCGGCCTCGAGACAAGCTAGTCCGGTTGTAATCAGTTTTTGATACTCGCGCAACTGGTCGTCTGAGCCCGATACCGCGACTCTCTGTACACCACGGCGGGCCTTCTCGAAACACTCTTCCGCCACATGTATCAGAATCGTGGTCGTGTCGTACGACCTCGCTTTCGACGACAAGGCCGGAGAGCCCCTAGAAGATATTGCAGGGGAGTTCATCGAAGATATCGCCGGCGACTTCCGAGCTATGCTGGGAGACCGAGCGGGTTGTACAGTTGGCGAGTTGGCGAAGTTGGGTTCGGGACTCGGTTGAACTTGGGGAGGTTCGGTGAAGGTTTGGTTTAGAACCGGTACACTCTGAGTTTGGCCCATGGTCGGTTGAGAAAACTGAGCATACTGAGGTACTGCCGGGAAGACTTGCGGGCTGCGTTGCTGCTGCTGCTGCTGAGATTTGTGCTGCTGTTGCGGTTGGTGCTGCTGCTGCTGCGGTTGAGCAGGAGGCTGAGGGGGAGGCAGCGGCAGTTGCTGGTAGTGTGGTTGGAATTGTGGTTGGTGTTGCAACTGCGTTGTCGGCTGGTATTCGGCGTATACGGGCGCCGTTGGGGTCGGGGTAGACGCAGACGCGAGCGCGGGAGATCGCGAGACATGCGTGTTCTGGGGAAACGAGTGAGGAGGCGCAAACTGAACATTCACCGCACTGTTGTGAACAAACGGTTGTTGCGTCTGGTGATGGTGGGGGTAATGCGGTTGCGGTTGCGGTTGCTGCTGCTGTTGCGGATGTGGGTGCTGCTGCTGCTGTTGCGAAAACGTGCTGCCATAGGCAGGAAATTGGCCATAACCGTTGGCCTGCATATTCATGGGCGTAGGAGCAGGAAGAATAGGGGCAAGTGCCGGTGCCGGCGAGTGATGATAGTTCCCGTGAACGGGTTGCGCCTGCTCGTGGCCGCCATATGGAGCATTCGCGTAGGTTGGGTTCTGACTATTGTCGCTGCCGTTCCCATTGCCGCTACCGTAGGGGTTGTGGTACGGTTGGGGAACTTGCTGCTGGCCGTTGAAGGCCTGCCCCGAAGGCAGTGAGCCCCGGTATGTCATCTTTGGGACGGCATATGGATCGCAGGTTTTGCTACATGGAGTCTCGGTGGTCGCTTTGTTGAACGGAACTTGTTGCGACGCGGTTGCTGTCCAATAGCCGCATCTGCAGGTCACAAGACTCTGTCGGTCGAGAGTTAGGTTGGTTCGTGGCCCTTGTATCTCTTACATAATCACACGTGCACTTGTTGCTGGCCGATGCACGATGCACAGACCGCCTCTCCGTCCTCTCAAGCCACTTGGAATGGAAAGTAACGCGCCGGTGGCTAAACTCCCTATAATACAAGGGACCTTGCTACAGTGTCTTGAAATGACTTCTGATACTGCCTTCTGATTGGCGGCGAGTAAAGTGCCTCGGCTTAACATCAATGTCATGCACCTGGGACCGAATCCCGGGATCGAATCCTAGGACTGAATCCCACCTCGTTTGCAGAGGCGAATACCTGATCGGTGTGCCCAATGCCGATCCACTGCATAGAATCGCGGTAGGATTGCTGGCACCTTTGGTGCTATCCTTAAGATGGATACCTGCCCGTTTGTGTTTGATTCTTAAATCGGAAGCTATCAGGTTCCTCGGGGCTCCACTACCATGACCTGTGGCCCTCTTTCCCTTTTCTCGTGGTAGAACTTTTGATTTCTTGATAAATCTTCGCTTGAGTCCCTTTCCAACACTCCACACAAGTTGTTGAGGAGGTTGCATGACTCCTGTCCTCACTATACTCGGCCTCACATTCTGTGCCCCCCCAGCTACAGCCCCACCATCTTTCTCGATCCCCGAACTTCCCCTGAAGCCAATCTGTCTCATCAACTGTTGCCCTCAGACTACGAAGCATGGACTGGCTTGGACATGCCAAAATCAACTTCACACACGCGCCATCGCCTGTGTCTCTCAAGGAGAAAGATGGTACTCAGACTGATCTACTGAAGGTATGCGAGAAGATCACACCACCATGCCAGATGAACCCTCTCCTCTTCAACGGCCATCTGCAGACAATGTGGACGGTCACGAAGCAGCACGGCCCGCCGGTGTACTATCGCCGAAAGGTGTTCCATGCCGAGGACAAGGCGTTTGAGGGTACCTTTGCTGTCGACTTTGTGACGGAGCCCTTTGAGGATGCAGACAGCAGTCTGCCGCCGCGTACGAAGTATTTCGAGGAGCAGGACTTTGGTAACCTAGCTTCGGACGACGACAGGCCCCAGCTGATCGTTCTTCACGGTCTCTCGGGAGGCTCTCATGAGATCTATCTAAGACATGCCATAGCGCCGTTGGTCGACTCGGGGAAGTGGGAGGTGTGCGTAGTGAATTCGAGAGGCTGCGCGAACAGCAAGTTCACCAGCGGCATCCTATACAACGCCAGGGCGACTTGGGACTTCCGCCAGGTCAGTAAATCAAGCCATCGTCCGGGTTAGTATGACTAGCTGACGATTGATGCAGACGGTTAAGTGGATGAGAAAGAATTTCCCGAACCGGCCGCTGTTCGCCTTGGGTTTCTCGCTCGGCGCCAACATGCTGACCAACGTATGCCCCGTGCCATGTCCGCTGAGAGGATTTGACTAGTTAACTGGTTTGACAGTACTGCGGAGAAGAGGGCGTCAACTGTGAGTTGACGGCCGCTATCGTCTGCTCCAACCCCTTCAACCTTGAGGTCTCAAGCAAGACAATGAGGCGGACGTTCCTCGGCAGAGAGGTCTACCAGAGAGTCATGGGAAGTTAGTCGTCCTCCCTGATCGCAAATTAACACCGTCCCGAGCTCACACTGTTCAACAGGCAGCATGAAGGAACTTATCGCCGGGCACAAGGAGGCTGTGCAGAAGTACACAAACCTGGATCTTGAACGTCTCCAGAAAGTGACGTACCTTTGGGAGTTTGACAGAGAAGTCCAGTAAGTCGCTAGGTTGCGAAACTTGCCCGAGTAGTTCTGACTTCCGTAGATGCATAAGCTGGGGCTACCCTACCGAGAGTGCTTACTACCGCGATGCGTCATCGTCCGATGCGGTATTGGCCATCAAGATTCCATTTTTTGCTCTTCATTCGACTGACGATCCCGTGAGCATATGATAACGAGTGAACTGTAAAAGAAGGGGCTGACACAAGACGCAGATTGCCGTGAACGAGGCAATCCCCTACGAGGAATTTGAGAAGAACCCGTATACTGTCCTGTGCACGACGTCCCTCGGTGGGCACCTCTGCTGGTTCGAGCCCGGCGGCGGGAGATGGCACGCAAAGCCAGTATGTCTCACATTCTTGATTGTGAATGGGCTCTTAGCTGACAGGAACAGGTTGCAAACTTCTTCAACCACATGGCATTCAACGTAGACCACAGCCAACTCCCCCCCAAGACGAACGGAGCCCCGCCCACGAACGGCAAATCGAAATTTCACTTCAACCCAGTGAGGCGTAAGATGGAGATCAAAGCAAGCTCGGAATAGACGTACCCAATTAGATATAGACCTTGTATAGAGCGAATGATGATTTAGATAAAGAGGGAATTGATGCTATTGAGAGTAATTCCGAGACTTTGTCCAGAGCTACAGACAGTAAGAGCTTGAGAACGGCGCAACGAAGAGATACGTCGCCCGGCGGCGCCACGGCCTACTAGTTGCTTGACGGTTCAGCATTAAGCTCTCGCGGAAGGGCAAGATCAGTCATGGTATCTGCTCTGAACGCCACCAAACACTACAAGGGGCTTTTTTAAAGAAAGAAAAAACAAGGTAATAGTATGCCCGCCCACTTCCCAGTCCAGTATGTTTTGATTTTTGGCACTCCGAAACGCCGCCCATGATGCAAACAGATGCAAAGATAAAAGAGGCAGCGCCTCTCCGCTGGTCGGCCCCCTTTACGCGAACGAGACACTCTTCCTCTTCTTGGGCTTGGCGGCCTTGGACCCCGAGATGGCGATCTGGTTGACGTTTTCCTCGTTCTCGGGGCGGCCGTTGGCGGCGCGCTTCCTCTTCTTCCTCAGGGATTCCTTGGTTTCCTCCAGCTTCGACTTCCTCTCCTCCTCCTTCTTCTCGGCCTCTATCCGGCGGGCTTCGCGGATCTCCTCCATTTGTCTCGCCTTCATCATCTTGGACTCAATCTGGCCCTCCTTCTCGGCCTGCACCATTGCGAGGATTGTGTTCATGCTCTCCTGTTCAGTATGTCAGCGGTCGAAGGATTAGGAGAGGAGCGCAATGGGAGGTGAGCCGTACCCTATCGTCGACGAAGACCTTGCCCTTCTTCTTGCCCTTGGGCTTCGTGACACCGACAGGCGTCACCATGTTCAGCTTGGGAATGTCGAGCTCCTCCTCCGTGTAAACCTTCTTCTTGCGCTTCTTCAGCAAGGCTTCGAGGTTCGACTTTCCCTTGGTCTTCAGCGGCTTGGTTCCCTTGGGGGTGTCCCTGGTTTTCCTGACGATGCCGTCAGGCGTGGCGGCTGCGTTCTTGGCGGCATTCTTGCTGTTCTTGATGCCGGAGCCATTGGAAGCGTGCTTGTTCTTTACAGTTCTCGTCTTTGAGGGCGCCATCGTAGATATCGTGTGAGGGTTGCGGGTGTGGGTGAATTGGAACTCGTCGCGACTCGGCGGGATGGGGTGAGTTGGAGGGACCAAGTGCGAAATCTAGAATTTTTTCTGACTGTCGGGGGCGATAAGCTCACCGAGACGGAGGCGATAAGCTCCTGTGGGCCCGCTCCCCGCCATTCGACATCACTGACAGGCGCCTACAGGGGTCTGGTTTCCCAGGCTGGTCGTGAGAAACAAAAATCCCCAATGATACGTTTACAACATATTGCCCAGTCAGCTTGGTTTAATAGATTATAAAACTTCATTATGCCGACTAATTGTGAATGAAATCACAAAGACATCAGACAAACGCACCACTCTAGCTTGCATTGACCTTCGACACGGGCAGAGCTTCAGGGACAAGTTTCAAGGATTGAGGACCGACTCACTTGACCCAATGCGCATTTTTCATGCTGCAACGGCGTAACATCCCTGTCAAAAATTTAGGCGGCTTGCCGTTGCCGCACCCGGAGCTATACAAATCTCTCTCACCCACCTCTTCTTTCATTCAGTGACTAACATCCTCTCCCCAAGGATAGCCGCACAGCGCCAGCAACCCAGCAAGCCGTGTATGAGCCATTGGCTCTCGAGCTTCCTTCCTTCCTTCCTTCCACCACTCTTTGAACCGTACCGTTCGGCTCTTGGCCAATCGTGGGGATGGCGCAACCCGTCAAGAGGTTTCCTGGCCATTTGGCTCAATTCGTGAGGTGCTACTCTGTTTCCGCTGAAAGCATTCCGGTGGCCAAGAAGAAGTACATCCCGACTGAGGGCACATATCCCAAGGGCTTCCAGGCCTCTGGCATCCTCGTGGGAGTGAAGCCAGGAAACAAGACGAAGCCCGATCTCGCCCTACTCAGCTCAGACCGGCCCTGTGCTGCTGCTGCCGTCTTCACAAAGAACAAATTCCAGGCGGCGCCTGTCACCTTCAGCCGGGATCTTTTGAAGAAGAAGGCAAACCGCGGCATTCGCAGTGTCCTCATCAATTCAGGATGCGCCAATGCCGTCACCGGAAAGGGAGGTCTCGAGGATGCTTCTCTCATGGCACACGCTGCCGACCAGGTTGTCGGGAGTGAGAGCGATGCGTCATCCACCATTGTCATGAGCACGGGAGTCATTGGTCAGAGACTTCCAATTGCCAAGATCGTTGACAACGTCCCCGCTGCACGAGAGGCTCTGGGCTCTTCTCACAAGCACTGGCTGGGCTTTGCGACCGCCATCTGTACGACCGATACGTTCCCGAAACTGATGTCCAAGACCTTCACCCTGCCCTCGTCACCGAACGTCGAGTATCGTATTGCTGGCACCACCAAAGGCGCTGGCATGATCCACCCCAACATGGCCACGCTCCTTGGTGTTGTCGCTACCGACGCCCCCATCTCACCTTCGGTTATGCCCTCGGTTCTCAAGCATGCTGTCGACCGATCTTTCAATAGCATCACCATTGATGGAGATACCTCGACCAACGACACTCTTGCTCTGCTCGCCAACGGCGCGGCCGGCGGCAAGGAGATTACATCCGAAGATTCACCTGACTATGCCGCCTTCAAGGACGTTCTTACTGATTTCTCCATCGACCTGGCTAAGCTGATTGTTCGCGATGGCGAGGGCGCCACCAAGTTCGTCACCATCCGCGTTGTCGAGTCTGCCAGCGAGGAGGCTGCGCGGAAGATTGCCAGCACCATTGCCAGGTCGCCTCTCGTCAAGACGGCACTATACGGCAGGGACGCCAACTGGGGTCGCATTCTGTGCGCAACTGGTTACTCGTTGGTGTCCGAGCCCGGCCAGGCTGTCAGCGAGGTCCCGGAGGTCGTCCCTGAGCAGACCAGCGTATCTTTCGTGCCTACGGATGGCACCTCTGAGCTGAAGCTGCTGGTCAACGGCGAGCCTGAGATGGTTGATGAGGCTAGAGCTTCCGAGATTCTGGAGCTCGAGGACCTGGAGATCCTTGTGAGGCTAGGCACTGGTGACAAGGAGGCCACGTACTGGACTTGCGATTACAGCCACGAGTACATTACGATCAATGGTGACTACCGCACGTAAATTGAGCGTTCAAAACCAGGGAGCTTGGGAAAATAGAGTAAGGCTAGAGTGGTGTGGACATTTCCATCTTATATATGCATGGTAGTCGTAAGGTCAAACAAAATAGACTGAAGACAGACTATTAGGAGCCAATCAATGGAGTTGCGTAATTTCGTTCGCATCGAATCTGTTGGTCGATGGTGGTGAAATCGGGATTATCCCCGGAAATCAAGAAATCAGCAACCAGAACCCAATTACCCCAGACCTTAACGCCGCGCCGAGGCATCGGAGTGGGCTGCGGGCACTTCTATTGGAGGCGCTCCCCGCATGAAGCAGGTGAGGCACCAGAGTGGCACCACTCTGCTGTGCTAAGTAGTTCTGGGCGTAAGAGCATTACCGCAGAAGAAAAAAGTTGGTTGACACATTTGGTTAGTGACATGGGAACAGGGCAGCTTTTCTCAAGCTTCTCGTCAAAAAAAGGTTACTGCAGGTGATTCTTGTTGGTATGAACGTAGCAGACCGGAATACCTAGTGAAGAACTCAGTAAAGCGATGTCTACCAGCGATAAATGGGCAGGGCAATGTCTCTGCGGCTGGATCCTGTTCCCAGACGCGGAGGCGGCTACCCCAGGAATCCCCACCTTCGAGGTCCCTGTAGCTCCAGAATGGACCTCGGCTCCGGCTCATCCCATCATCCATCTCCCGTACGATGAGACCAAAGACTCCTCTTTCAAAAGGGAGTAGAGATCCATACCATTGACATTGTCCTCGTCTCCTGCACCTCCAGCCTCTCGAACTAACGTGCAACCCGCCCACCTTTGAGACGACTTGCACTATCCATTTACCTCTGCCCCAGAGTCCCAATATGACGTCCAGAGTCCCAGCTATCGTAAGTCGCCAGTGCGGGGGGGGCTCGCGTCGTTGTGCAAGGCTAAATTCGGTCACCACCAGGTACTGGATCGCCTCAGCGATCGCGCAAAGGAGGCGCTCGATCTCGTTGCCAAGTTCGTCGAGGAGGAGTGCATACCGTAAGAAGTGATTGGACCTTCAACATCCTGCCTCGCGGCTAACAGGCTGCGTACCCAGCGCCGACCCTATTTTGGAAGCCCAGATTGGCCAAGGTGACGAGAGATGGAGCCAGCACCCGGCAATCGTTGAGGACCTCAAGACCAAGGCCAGGAAGCTCGGTCTCTGGAACATGTTCCTGCCCAAGGGCCATTACAAGGAGTCACCGGGCTTCACGAACCTCGAGTATGGCCTCATGGCGGAATGGCTCGGCAAGTCGAGAGTAGCCTCCGAAGCTTTCAACTGCGCAGCGCCCGATACCGGCAACATGGAGGTTCTCGCCAAGTACGGAAACGACGAGCAGAAGAACAAGTGGCTCAAGCCTTTGATGGAGGGCCAGATCCGCTCTGCCTTCCTGATGACGGAGCCTGACGTCGCCTCTTCGGACGCGACCAACATCCAGCTCAGCATACGGAAGGAGGGCAAGGAATACGTTCTCAACGGCTCGGTATGTGTCAGTTCCTTCCTGCAATCGAGGCCTCTTTGCTAACAGCAGCAGAAATGGTGGTCCAGTGGCGCTGGCGACCCCCGGTGCTCGATTTATATCGTCATGGGCAAGAGTGACCCCAACAACAAGGACCCTTACAGACAACAATCCGTGATTCTTGTTCCCGCGGGCACTAAGGGTATTACAATCCACCGCATGCTGCAAGTTTACGGCTACGACGACGCGCCCCACGGCCACGGCCACATCACCTTCAAGGACGTCCGTGTACCTGCCAGCAACCTCGTCCTCGGCGAAGGCCGCGGCTTTGAGATTATCCAGGGCAGACTCGGTCCCGGCCGCATTCACCACGCCATGCGGACCATTGGAGCGGTAAGCGCAAACTTGGCATGTCTTTAAGGGTGATTGGCAACATTCTAACGTACATCTTCCCAGGCCGAGCGCGCCCTCGAATGGATGCTGATGCGCATCAACGACCCCACCAAGACGCCCTTCGGCAAGCAGCTGCGGGAGCACGGCGTTATTCTCGAATGGGTGGCCAAGTCCCGTATTGAGATTGACGCCGCTCGTCTTGTCGTTCTCAACGCCGCTATCCGGATGGACGACCTCGGCCCCAAGAAGGCCCTTAAGGAGATCGCCGAGGCCAAGGTTCTCGTCCCGCAGACGGCCCTGACGGTCATCGACCGCGCTATCCAGTCCTTTGGCGCTGCCGGTGTTTGCCAGGACACGCCGCTCGCGAGCATGTGGGCCAACATTCGGACGCTGCGGCTCGCCGATGGCCCCGATGAGGTGCATCTGCAGCAGCTCGGCAGGAACGAGAACAAGAGGGGCAAGGAAGTTACGGATAAGATCCAGTGGCAGAAGCAAAAGACGGAGCAGCTGATGGCCCAGTACAAGACCAAGACAACGCAGCCGGGGGCCAACATTAACCGGTCCAGGTTGTGAGTTGCGTCAGCGGTTGTCTTCTGTAGTTGAATAAAATCGTGTGTACAATATCAGTCAGAAATGTCGCTGCGAGTTGTCATCGGGGAATGTACGCCAGAATGAAATGAGATACTTCAACGGTTGGCCTGCCGCCTCCATTCCATCTGACTCACACTTGGGGCCATTGTCTGGCCATGTGCAATGCGAGCCGGGAACTCGGCAGCATTCCGGATGGAAACCGGGAGAGAGGCAGAGACAGACCCTGGATAGGTAGTCAAGGTCAGGGGCCAGCGTGGTGATGGTAACATTGGAGATGGCCTCCCGTAAGACTCAGAGCAATCTATGCCCGGCAGCATTGACTGGTCTCGGTACGACCACAGATGCGACCTCTCCCCAGTGATCGACCATCTGCGGTCCCGGGCCAGAGAGAGATGGAGAGGGCCAAAGCCACTCCACAGGCCGGACCAGAGCACAACATTCTGACGAACACCTGCCTGCGGCTAAGATGCATGGCAGGGAACGATAGGTAGCAACATAAGGTCTGGGACGCCGGTTGCCCAGGAGGTCCGCTAAGACAGAGAGCTAGAAGGACAAGGGGGGAACCTGACATGACAGCACATCCCCCATCACACGGACGACGACGCCTAGCCAGGACTGACAAGGCCCGTTGTTTGTCTTCCGGCAGGGCAGGCCCCACATTCCCACCAACGAACTTCCCTCCTCACCACCCCTGAACCCCTGCGCCGTTTCGGTTAGCCCGTTGCCCAGTCAACAACCCAGAAAATTCGTTTACCTCGACACCCAGCAACCTACTCCACCACTTCAGGCCTAAGCACTCAAGCAGACAGCCTAGAAGGTCCCCAAAAGGAGCAAAGTGTGTGCATCTTTTTCACGGTAATCACGAACGTCATAAACACTCCACGGCAAACCCTGTGCACTGAACGTGTGTCTCTTTCAAGTACAAAGGTCTTTCCTTTCTTCTTCTGCATTGGCCTTGACCCTTCCCTAACTACAGCCACCCACATCAATCCCATTCATCCATCCTTCTTCCATCTTACACACTTTGCGCCAACTTCACATCCTACGACTACAAAATCGCATCCTCAGCACTGCTCAACATTGCACATTTGCCTATTCACAGCAAATAAACACCAGCACCTCTACCACAACTCAACCCGCACATCATCAGCAGATAAAGATGTCTCCCAACGTTCTCGCTGACAAGGACGTCAACGCTCCCGTCGTGGTCAACGACTCACAGGCCTCCAAGGACGTTAAGAGCATGGAGTACCACCGCCAGGTCCTGCAGAACAAGATGGCCCAAGAGAAGTACGACCACAAGCTACAGACTCGTGACGCCCAGAGCAAAGCCCTAAACTTCGATGTCCTCGATAGGTCCAAGACGTATATCTCGCCTTCTGACGACATTATGAGCCCTTGTACTGCCAAGCTCAGCGCCCTGCGCAACAAGCAGGTCGGAAAGTATGTCAAGCCTCACTCTGTTGCAGCCATCCTGTAACCCACAGCTAACCTTCCTTCCTCCCATCCAGGGTCAAGCCCAAGTCCCTCTTCGCCCAGACTTCTGCCAAGAAGCTCGGAGGCGGTGACGCCCTCTTCGGCGACCGGACAACTACCCCTACCAAGGACAGCAACATCTTCTAGGCAAGAGAGCCGCATCTTTTTCTGACCAAACAAACAAAACGATAAGAAAAGCTTTCACGATATTGGGATGGGCTCGCGGGCTGTTTTACTGGTTTTGCTTCTCTTCTCTTCAACTGGGAGATATTGAAATTACGCCTCCACCTTAGATGACCTCTTGGTCTCTTGATTTGGGGGAGGCGGGATAGGGTTCATCGGCGTTTAACGGGTAGACCACTGTCTTACTCCAGGATAAGGGAGTTGCTGTACACCATGACATGACACGAAATGATATCAGGCTTTTCCTTTTTTTCCTTTCTTTTGTTCCCCTTCTACCACTTTTTTCGCTACTAGGATTCTAGGAGGGGCTATATCCATCGGCTGCCACCGCATCATCGGCCGGCCTGAGCAGGAAATACAAATCCTCGTTACCGTTGATCTTCGCCCGTCTTCCATGTTCCTCGTCTTCCTTCCTTCGTTCGTTTTATGCCTTCCACGCGCTCACAATGTAGACGACGTCCTCATCCGCCACCATGTGCCCGAGTCCCACCCTCTGCGGGATATGTCTGGCGCTCGCACCCCAAACGAGCGCGTACTTGAAGGTGTCTTTAAGCGTCCTGTGGATGCGGTCGCAGACGTCCTCGATTGTGCTGTTGCTCCGCACGATGAGGGCCTCGCTAAAGTCAGGGTCGTTACCCTTGCGCTTCGTGTAGATGCGGATGAGCTTGAGCTCCTCCCAACAGCGATCGACGACGTCCTGTATGCCGAGGTCGAGCTCGCAACTCATGACGACTGTCTGTGGCTCGCGCGCGAGCTTGTCGAGGAAGTCGAGCGAGACGCTGTCGATCTTGTTGTACACGTATAGACACTTGATATACTTACGGTGGTCCTTCATGATGACGTCGATGAGGTCGTCCACCGTCGCGTTCTCGTCGCGTACGAGCACCTCACAGTTGAGGATCTTGTAGTCGCGCAGGATGTTGAAGACCATCTTCTCGTCCATGGCCTTGGGCGGGTTCTGAAACGTGATCTTCATGCCGCCGGCCTTTTTCGCCTTGAGGTAGATGTTTCTGCGGCGCGCGTCAGACATGGGGGGGATTGGTCTCTGAATCGCCGGACGGACGGCAACTCACGGTGGGTCTCTGTTGAGGCGGATGCCGACAGCCTCCAACTCGGCCTCGAGCAGAGCTCGCTGCTCCGCCTTCTTGGTGGCATCCAGTACCATTAGGATCAAGTCGCTCGTCTTGGCCGCCGAAATGACCTGCCTTCCTCTTCCCTTGCCTTCGGAAGCGCCCTCGATGATACCGGGCAGATCGAGCAGCTGAATCTCGGCGCCGCCGTATTCCAGGACGCCCGGAATGGCTGTGAGAGTTGTGAAAGCGTACGAGGCCACCTCGGATTTCGTCCGCGTCACCTTGGATAGGAACGTCGATTTACCGACTGAGGGGAAGCCGACTAGGGCTATCCTGGCATCACCACTCTTACTGACATCGAACCCTGCTCCGCCACCCCCTCCAGCTCCTGGACCGGGTTCGAGAAGCTGTGCTCTCAGACGCGCAAGTTTACTATCATGTGTGAGTGTGCGGCTTTATGGGTCTGGAAGATGAATAAACATACCCCTTGAGGAGACCCAAATGATACTCTGTAAAAGGGGGCTATTAACGGTTATTGGTCGGATACTGTGAGTTATAACACAACGTACCGGTCGCCTTGTTCTCTAGAAAATGTTAGCAAAATTACATCTTACAGAATCTCGCCGCTTGGGTCATCGTCCTAGCCGTAGCTGGCAAATGTCCATGAGGGCTTATTCAAGCAGCCTTTCGGCCCCGTCATCATCCAATACGTCTGGAATAGCCTCACAGGACGAGGAAAAATAACTTGGTGATACAAGAGAATGCGCCTTACTCTGAGTCTTTCTCATCTCCTCCTCAATCCTAGTCGCGAACCGTCAGTTTTCGTGATCTCGGTTGGGGGAGGCGGTACGTACTCCTTGATCTTCTCCGTAATGTTCACCATCTTGGCGGCTTCTGAGTTCAGAGTCTCGCGACCCTGAAAATCCTCTAAAATCAAAGACTGGGCAACGATGGGAAAAAAAAAGACAGAGTCACTGCTTGGTCGTTGAACGCTTCACGGGTTCATCATGGTGGGGCACCCGAGTTCCTCCAAGGCGTGCGCGGGAAGACTGGACGGTGGCAGAATTTACCGCGGGGCTGCTGTGTCAAGCTGCAGGGGTCCCGCACTCACCGCCCTTGACCGTCGGCCGGGCTTGCGCCACAGCTTCTATCGCGATAACAATTTTCAAGCCTCGCCGTTGTTGGACCAGGGTTGCCGTCTCCAACGCCATTGCCTTGCTGAACAACATCCACTCTTCCCAGCTACGTCCGCAATCACCACATCGTCGTCTTTTTTTTCCTCACGTTCTACGCACAATTGCAATCGCAATCATGTCGGACGAGATCGCAGAAGCTCGAGCCGAGGGCGTCGAGGGTGGAGAGCCGCAGGAGGAGACGGCGCTGGTCACCACCGGTAACAATGAGGTCGCCGCACCGGCGGAGCGTAAGGTGAAGAAGATCATCCGCAAGAAGAAGAGGCCGGCGCGCCCGCAGGTCGACCCATCCTTCATCACTTCCGAGCCGCCGCCGCAGACGGGCACGATCTTCAACATCTGGTACAACAAGTGGTCAGGCGGCGATCGCGAGGACAAGTACCTATCCAAGACGCACGCCAAGGGGCGCTGCAACGTCGCAAAGGACAGCGGCTATACGAGGGCCGACAAGGTCACGGGCAGCTACTTCTGCCTCTTCTTCGCCCGCGGCATATGCCCCAAGGGCCAGGACTGCGAATACCTCCACCGCCTGCCGGGCATCCACGACATCTTCAACCCCAATGTCGACTGCTTCGGCCGCGACAAGCACTCCGACTACAGAGATGACATGGGCGGTGTCGGCAGTTTCATGAGGCAGAACCGCACCATCTACGTCGGAAGGATACACGTCACGGATGACATTGAGGAGATTGTGGCGCGTCACTTTGCGGAATGGGGCCAGATCGAGCGAAGTAAGTTCTACAAGTCTATTCATGCCGAGTTTCGGAACAGGTACTAATATTTCGTCTAGTTCGCGTGCTCAACACCCGCGGCGTTGCTTTCATTACATATTCCAACGAGGCGAACGCCCAATTCGCGAAGGAGGCCATGGCGCATCAATCTCTGGACCACGAGGAGATTCTCAACGTGCGGTGGGCCACTGCCGACCCGAACCCCATGGCGCAGGCGCGCGAGGCGAGGCGAATCGAGGAGCAGGCCGCCGAGGCCGTCCGGAGGGCCCTCCCTGCAGAGTTCGTTGCCGAGATCGAGGGCAAAGACCCAGAGGCGAGGAAGAGGAGGAAGATCGAGAGCAGCTACGGGCTCGAGGGCTACGAGGCGCCGGACGAGGTGCACTTTGCGCGGGGCGCGAACGCCGTGAACCCCGTTGGTAGGGAGGGCCACGTGGTAGAGTACCAGCAACCGCCCATGTTGGAGAACGGCGACCAGCAGCAGTACATGGCGTTGCCGGCTCCACAGGAGCAGTCGGTCGTGTCTGGTGGCATCTTCTCCAGCAGTACTCTGGCGGCCTTGAACGCCTCCAAGGTTGCTGTAGCATCGAAACCGAAGGCTGCCGTATCTTCGGGGCCGTTAGTCGCATACGGCAGTGACGACGACGACGATTGAGTCGGTAGCGGGCGATTAGTTTGTATGATAATAGAGAAAAGCGAGCATGATACCCATTAAGAATGGAAACATCGAGGGGACTGAATAATTGGGTCAGCTGTTGAATATCCGTGAATACAGGACCTCGTGTCTGCCGATCCAGAGATCCATAACGGGCATGGTCTGCCCGGCCCTCTCAATGGGCGTGTCCCACTCCCTGTCGATGGCTGCCGTGATGAGTTGCTGGACCTGGGTGCTCGCGAGCACTTTTTGCGCTTGATACGGTCCGAACATGCTGGCTCTCACGGCCGCTGAGATGAGTGCCTTTACGTGCCCCATCATAAAGATGTAGGCCGTCTGCCGCAAGCTGAGCCCCACCAGGTTTGAGATGGCGCCAAAGAGGGGAGCCAAGTGAGCAAACACCAACGGCGGCTCGGCCGAGTCGTCCGCGGTCGAAGAGGCTCGCGACGAGGTGGCGGCCTTCAGCGTCGCCACATACGGCTGCAAGGTCGCGACGACGTGGGCCGGGAGGGACGTCGCGAAGGAGCGCTCCCAGATGGAGAGGAGGGCACGGCCTTGGGCTATCGAGGCGCGGCGGCCGACGGTGCAGATGATGGCCGCATCGAGGTGGTCGTCCAGTTCGGCGAGAGCGTTTGGGTCGCGGTGCGCCGCGAGGACGAATGGCAGGGTCGTCGAGGCGTAGGCCGAAATGGACTCAGGGAGGAAGACGTTAAAGGACGAGCGGCCCCTGGTGTGCGCCAGATACGATTCGAGACCGCTGCTGAAGGCGAACGATCCCAGAGGCAGGGCCGAGTCTGACAGTAACAGAAGGTAGTGATTCGATAGAGTCAGCGACACTATAGGGTGTTAGTGTGAGTGGACTCCGAGACATTTACAGGAGGACGTCGCACATGAAGGCTTCGGAGGGCCTCGATACGGCAGCGATTCGCAAGACCCTAGGGTTCCCCCTTTGAGACTCTTCAGCTTCTCCCTAGCAGCCTCGAGGCGTGCCTCTAACTCCAAGACCTCTTTCTCGGCGTCATCAACGGATCCGTCCCAGGCATTTGAGTCCATCGGAAGACCTGAGAGAATTTGACGCCGTGTTGCAGTTGATAAGGTTCCGATAGCGGGAGACGGACCCTGCAGAATCGGAGGGAGTGGCCGTTCAGTGGGCTGCATCGAGCCTACGGCGGGAGCTGGGGGGGGTGCTCTTTACCGTGACGTACCCACCAAGAATGGGCGCGCTGGGAAGCTGCTGGGATGTTGTTCGGCGTCTGTTCGTCCCACTAGCCCATGCCATCTTGCTCCCCTCGGCGATTGATGTAGTAAAAGAGCTGTAGGAGCGGAATCGAACGATTTCACCAATCAAAGCCGAGGAACATCCGGAGTGAGTTTGCATAGCATTTTTATTCACATCCCGCAAACATCCCACAGTATACAAAGACGCATCATAGTCTGTTTGATTTCGTCCACCGAACCGACGTCATCCTCTCCGCCAAAGACCGCGAAGCGACCGCCTCGGCCGGTGATGCCCGCAAGATGAAGTCGTACGACCAGATGAAGAGCGCTGAGGCCAATGAGGCCGCGTGGGAGGCCACCCGGGGCGCCGTCGTCGGCGCCGCTAGATGGGGTGCCGGGGCCGCCGTATTGGGAGCCTTTGCGTGGAAGTTCTCACCACTGTACAAGGGCCTCACCATCCAGTTCAAGATGTAATTGTGTCGCGTGACACCCCTCATGGTCCCGAAGAAGATGCGCTGACAGCGGCACAGCTACATGCAAATGTCCGCCATGGTGCTGGGAAGCATGCTTGAGGCGGACAGCAGACTGCGGGAGTACGAGGCCAAGGTCAGGATACAGAAGCGCATCCTTAGGGACAGGGCCAAATGGGAGAGGTTTGAGCAGGAGTTTATCGAAAACCCGACGAATGAGGAGAAGAAATGAAGGGCCGCGACCTGTACGGCTAACGCCAACAAATGGACGAGACTGGAATTCTCACAAAAGTTGACCTGAACCTGTATTCGTATTATTGTATAACACCGTACATTCAAATCCTTGGCTTTTTAGCTACACAGACAAGGTGCCGCAGACCTGATTTCCCCCCAACGCCGGATCATGCAAGTCATTATGTCCCGCCATAGGCAGGTTTTATTGGCAACCGCTCTCATTTTGAGGGCACTTCAAACTTCTTCGGGTCCATGTTGATCTTGCAGAGCCTCGCGACACAGCCGCTCAGCTGCAGCAGTGTTTGCACGCCCTCCAAGATCTTCATGTGTGTGAAGCCAATCTCCTTGATGAACTCCAGCTTCGAGTGCTCGCTCAGCGTAGGGATTGTCTTTGTGACTTTGAACATGGTGCTGATGATGTCGTGGCTCGAGTATCCCAGGTCCCAGAGCTCGCGGAGGCTGTCGAGTGCCGAGTCGATGTTGCCCTCGTAGCAGGCCTTGAGCATGGCCTGGACCTTGATGGGGTGCGGCGAGTCCACCACTTTAAAGACGTTGTCGCCCGACACGAAGCCGAAACCGGCAAACGTCGACTGCAGGTTGTTGATGGCCTGCCGCATGTCGCCTTCGGCGCTGAAAACAAGCGCAGCCAGGCCGTCGTCACTATATTCCACCTTTTCCGCCTCGATAATCTGCAGCAACCGCTTGACCACCTGCTCGTCGGTGAGCCGGGCATACCGGAGGATGGCGCATCGCGACTGCAGTGGCTCAATGATCTTGTTGGACTGGTTGCAGGCGAAGGCGAAGCGCGTCGTGTTGGAGTAGATCTCCATCGTTCGGCGAAGAGCTTGCTGGGCACCTGATGTCATGCTGTCGGCCTCGTCGAGGATCACAAGCTTGTGGCGGCCCTGGGGCAAGGTGACCTTCTTCTGGGCGAAACCCTTGATGCGATTGCGGACGACGTCGATTCCTGCGCTCCATTGTCAGTACCGAGCCATACGTAGAACGCTACTGCCTCCGTACCTCTCTCATCACTGGCATTGAGTTCAAGGACTGCCTCCTTGTATGAGTCTCCAAGAAGCTGTCTTGCCAAGCAGAGCACACTTGTAGTCTTTCCGATACCAGGCATGCCAGAGATGATAACGTGCGGCATGTTCCCCTCCTTCGCAATGATCTTTAACCGATCAATCGTCTCGGTGTTTCCGACAACATCGTCAAGGAATACGGGGCGGTACTTTTCAACCCTGCGAAGGGCATTAGGAATCAGCTTCGAGAGACTCGACGGGCTTTCGAGACCTACCAAGGCAGCTCATAGTTGGGGACACCGTTCGACGCCGCCGTCAGAGCCTTCTTTGCTGCAGATGTCGAGGACTCGCCAGCCTCCTCCGGCTTTGTGGTTGGCTTTTGTGCAGGCATGGCAGCTATCGACTGTCGTTTGGGGTTTGTGGACAGCAAAAAGACAGGCAGGTTGTCAGAGTTCTGTGCAGAGTGGACAAAGGCACTTTACGCGATGATTGACGAAAAGTCGCGTCAGGGGAAGGACGCGCTAGACTTGGACGGCATCCACACTGTACGTACCCCACCCTTACGATCCTTGTGCCCTCACTCACTCATCCAACCTCCTTATTCATAAGAAAATAAAGTCATAGGCATTGTAATCACAACGACTTTTCATGGCAGTCAAAGCAACCGTACCGGCACTCCTGGGCCCAATTCTTTTGTTGCATTTTAAATAAACAAAGGTATCTATCTAGTCGTCATCCTCGTTGGCCGGTTTCTTGGCCTTCCTGCTCTTCGCACCTCCCTTAAAGTGCTTCTTTCCTGACGATAGCTTCACATCCTTAGGGTCGACGCCATTCTCCAGAGCAATCATCGCCCGCGCCTTTCTTCCACTCAAGTGCTTCTGGCCCCGCTCCGAGTATTTGTGAGCAAATGGCATCTTGAGATGCCCGGTTCCAGTGCCGTCAGGGCCAAAGAAACCCTTGTCAATCTTCTTGGATTTCGGGCCAGCCGGGAGAAGTGTCAGGTCGGAAGGGGCTATTGAGATATCATCGCCGACGAACGACATGGTGTCGAGAGACGCGTTGACTGCTTGGCGTCTCTTCTCGGGAAGATGACTGGCATCGTAGAGCTCCTGGTTGAACTCGGGACCATCGATGGTTCCAGGTGGCGGCTCACAGTAAAGAAGCTTACCGTTCACATAATCTTTCAGGATGTAGCGGGAAGCTCTCGACTCGTCAGGCTGACCCAGTCCCTGGGTCGTGAAGCCTCTGGCTTTGGCATAGGCGGAAAGCAGCTCCGCCGCAGTAGGGATTCCAGTACCTCCTTCCTCAAGGGCGCGGGTCTTGATGTGGATTCCGTAAACCGCCTCTAGGAAAGGCTTTGGGATTCTGCGCGCGACGAGGCCGGCAGGCCCTTGAAATTCTCGCAGCTGATCGATGGGTAAGACACCGTTACAAACCAGGTCGGCCTTAGTGCTAGCAAAGTTGGGGAAGACCAGACCAGGACAATCACATAGGATGACGTCCTCGCTGAGGTGGATGGTCTGGAAGTGCTTCGTCTTTCCTGGTGTTGATGAAACTGACACCTTCTTGGCGCCAATCAAGGCGTTGATGGTAGACGACTTTCCGACATTGGGATATCCGACAAGACCGATCTGCAGTTTGTGGCCTGGCTCTGGAGAGGCGCCGTTAGTTTCCAACATGGGAGTTCGGCTTGAATCCTTTCTCGACATACCTGCATTCTCAGGAGCGTGGCTGAGGAAAATTCCCTCCAGCTCCTCGACTGTCAAGATACGGGTGTCCTCGTCGTCAACCTCGGCTGCTGCTTCCTGCTGTGACGCACCCGCACCGCCCTCTTGATCATCCTCTTCCTCTGAGCGCTCCTCTTCGGCGGCATCATCACTGCTTTCCTCGTCAGAGGCAGTGTTTTTCGGTGGAGGTTGAGAGCTGCTGCTGGCCTCCGGTTCCTCTGAGTCAGAATCCTCCTCCTCCAGCATCTCCAACATCTCCTTTGCAAGACTTGCGGAGAAGAACCTGTAAGCAATGCCGTTCTCCTTCAGGTACTTAGCCCACATCTTGCGCTGGGTCAGCGTAAGCATGTCGGCTTTGTTGATGAGCAACAGATTCTCCTTCTTGGGGTCGATGTCCTTGACGTAGTTCTCCAAGTCCTCGGATCTGAACAGCAAGGGGTTTCGGGCGTCGACAATCTGGACCACGAGATCTGATCTTTCAATGACACGCCACAACTGCCTCCAAACCTCGAGGTTTCGCTCGAAAGGGGTCATCAGAAGATCGTTGTTTTCTTGGAGTTCCGCCAGACCTCTGCGCCAGTCCAAGAAGCTATCTCTCTCCCTCCTATCCAGCTCTTCTGGGGTGGTAGACGCATCCCATTTCGGCCTTCTCGGCACCGTCAAGCGTCCCTTGTGATCCTTCTGTTTGGCGAGGACGCCCCTCTCCTCTGCTCCGGACAGCAAATACGGGTTCTTCTGGTCGGTGTGGATGATCTTGATGTTGTTCATCTTCTCAGCGGTGAAGTCCGTGCCCGCCAGCTCTGCTGTCGCAAGAAACTCGTCGAGGGCGCCCTGCTCGGTGACCGATCGCATCTTGACCCATGACGCCTCTGGTCGCTCATTCGTGAGGTACTAATAAAGTGTGAGTGTTTTTCCGATTCATAATAGTGGTGCAATCTCTTGGCTACCTCTTCTCCTGTAGCATGGTTTACTCTGGTGATGGCCGAGGTCTTCTTCCTGTCGTTACCGCGGTTCTTACCGAAGCGATCGTTCATCAGGGCATTGCCGAGCCCGGCGGTCTTCTTGGATTTGGCGTGCACCATTTTCGTGGCGATATCTTGTCTCGCACAGCTTAGGAAAGATGAGAAAATGGGTTGGAGAGAAAAATACTCGCCAGAACCGCTTGTGAATGAGTAATAAGTGGGAGCCCGTCGCAACCGCCCGCCTTGAAGAGAATGGCAGTGCCCCGCGACGATTAATCAGCGGGGCAAATGTCCCCCGCCGCAAACCCTTCTATGCTTTTTTTTTTCTTTTTCGCATACGCCAGCGTTTTCAGCATCTTTGGGTAGTTATCGATAAGATAACATCCGGGAGTCAATATCCCTCCCATATCCCCCACCAACTTTTTTTTTTTACGACGCCACTACCTACCTAATCTTGGATTTAGGAGGAGACTCACGTACGTCCCACTCTGATTCTCTTTCGCGCCCTTCATTCAGATACCCCATCGGACCGGTCTCGGCCTCGAAACTCGCGAAATCAGTCAGTATGGCGAAGGGAAAGAGATTGTGAGGTGATCCTTGTTTCTCAGATGCGCTTTAACTGACAAAATGACAGCGACAAGAAGAATGCGCAGCATTTCACTCTCGTCCACCGACCGCAAAATGACCCGCTCATTCACGACGAAAATGCGCCTTCCATGGTGCTCAACCCCGTGCCTCAGAAAGGAGGATCCTCGAAAGGAAAACATCTGAGCGATCTTGCATCAGAGCTTGGCTCAGATGCCATGAGCATACGGGAGAACGAAGGAGAGGCAGCAGAGTACGGCGTTTACTACGACGATACCCAGTACGATTACATGCAGCATCTCCGCGACCTGAACTCTGGAGGCGGCGAGGCTGTGTGGGTTGAGGCTCCCGCGGCTACGACTAAGGACAAGGGCAAGGCCAAGCAGGCGTCGCTCGAAGACGCTCTGCGCCAAATGGACTTGGAACATAAGAGCGAGGCTTTGCTGGATGAATCGGTCCTTCCCAACAAGAACCTGCAGCGAGCAACCTACCAAAACCAGCAAGATATTCCAGACGCCATTGCTGGCTTCCAGCCCGACATGGATCCCCGATTGCGTGAGGTTCTGGAGGCGTTGGAGGACGATGCATACGTGGATGAGGACGACGATGTCTTCCAAGAGCTGTCCAAGGATGCGCATGAGATCGACCAATACGAGTTTGAAGATCAGTTCAACTATGACGACGAGGACGAGGGTTGGGAGTCGGATGGCACCGCAAAGCCAAGCAAGGAGTATAAGGACGGAATGGTGCCGCAGCTGATTTCCGTTGAAGGTGAGGCGTTGCCAGAGCACCAGAACGAGGACTGGTTGGAAGACTTCAAACAATTCAAAAAGGATCAGAAGGGTGGGAAGGCCCCGGAAAAGGCTCCCCCGTCTGAGCTGCAGTCATCCATCTGGACCACGACAACAATGGGTGGTCGGAAAAAGAAAAGAAAGGGAGCTCTTACCAACCCCTCCGCTTACTCTATGACCTCGTCATCGATGGTCAGGACAGAACAGCTCACTCTTCTGGATGCCAGGTTCGACAAGATTGAGGAGGAGTACACAAGTGAAATGGGCGATGACATGGCCTCCGTCTCAGAGGTCTCAACGGCGACCAGTGTGACCGGGCCCACACGAGGCGACTTTGATAGCATCATGGACGACTTTTTGGGAAGCTACACGAAACCCGGAAAGCGCACAAACAAGAAGACCAGACCTCAGACTGGTCTCGAGCAGCTTGACGAAATCAGGAAGGGACTGGGTCCGGCTCGCCTGCGGCCCAAGGATTATCGGGTCTAGATTCCAGTCATTGAGATTGAGATACCCTCATTTGGCGCCAGACTTACCGCAAGATGTGCGCTTTGAAATGCTATAATGAACAAATTGACGTTTAATGATGTTGCATCTGCTACCACGTAACGATTAGGATTGGATGGCACAAGTGAATGCATCGTAAACCGAATTTGTTAGACTCACTCAAATCCTTCTCTTGGGGTGTTCCTACATCGATCGCTCTACTCGCACACCCAAGTTTGGCAGGAACGGGTGTATGGGGCAAATAGCCGCTTAGGCGTCTACGCTAGAGCTAAGCGCGACAAAAAAAAAAGAATACGCGACAAACGCAGACCAGCTCAATCCTACCTTCCTTTAGTTCTCCACTCCCATTCTTGTATGCCTCGCCGATTCCCATTTTGGAGTTTCCTTTTGCGACTCCGACATGACGTCGGTCTCTCTCCCGCCTAACAGACCTGACAGGACACCATCTTCATTCGCAGCATCATCATCGGGCGGCTTCGGAAGCCATTCTGACGCGGGCCATCACAGTCTCAACTTCGATGGAGTTGGCGGTGGCAGTGGGAAGCGGTTGAAGCGCAACCTGACGAACCAGCCTTTCGAAATGACGACTCTCGCGACGAAGCGGAAGGGCGTCAACCCATTCGATGGCGCAAGCTCAGACGACAATCGCCGGAAGAAAAACACAAAGAATAGCTCACAAGGCGACTGGAAGAAGAGGTCCCCCCAGCCGCAAGGCGCGAAGCCGAATGGCGCGAAGAAGGGCTCGAAAGGGATCGGGTCCACGCAGTCGCGCGGCGGTTTCGGCACTCAAAACAACAACAACACTCATGCACAGGGCGCAGATTCTACCGACTACGAAACGGACGATGCGACCAGCAACGCGGTCGGCGACGGTACGCCGTACTCCGACAGGATATTTTCCCAGCTTCGAAAGGATGCAATCATGCCGCCACGATGGCCTTCCGATCCGGGAAACACGACCTCGAAGGCTGCCATGGCCAAGTTCAGAGAGGAATACAAGACATATCGTGACCGCGCCAGATCTTCTTTGATGCGCGCCGGCTTGATTGACGATCCGGACAAACCTAAACGCCTGGAGGACGCGATCGTTTTCAAAGGCATCTGCGACGCGATGTGCCCTGACTTTGAAAAAATCACCCGCATTACCGAGTTCGACGTTCAGTCCGCCGAGAAAGACCCCCAGACGACTTTCGCCATCACCTCGAAGATGGTCAAGAAGCTGGCCAGGTCCGCAGCTGGCCAGGAGGCACCTCTACCCATGGATGTCAGATCTACCGCAGCACTCAGAAAAACGCTCGATTACCTCATCGACGATCTACTACAAACGGATGAAAATCTGCCCTCCCTACACGGCTTTCTATGGGACAGGACACGAGCGATTCGTAGAGACTTTATTTTTCATTCGTCCATGTCCCCCGAGGAGATGAAGGACCAAGTTTACTGCCTCGAGACAATCGCCAGATTTCACGTCACGTCTCTACATCTTCTTTCCCAGGAAGGATTCGCACCAGAAGACTTCTCCGAACAACAGGAAATCGAACAGCTTGGGAAGTCATTACTTTCGCTCATGTTTGCATACGATGACTGCAAACCCCAGGGCGTCGTTTGCGAAAACGAGGCCGAGTTCAGAGCGTACCATTTACTCTTCAGTGCGAACAAACCCAATATACTCGACGACGTGCAAAAGGAGTGGGGAGACTCTCGTTTCTGGACCGAATCCGACGAAATCAGGACAGCCGTTTCACTTGTCGAGAGTCTGCAAAGTGCCGAGGATTTTCACGGTCCATTGGGCTCCGGGCCATCTATGGCGGTATCCGGCGCACATCGCACCTATTTCCGAATCCTCGAAAGCAAACAAGTGTCCTACACGATGGCTTGCTTTGCAGAGATTCATCTTGGTCAACTGCGTCGCTCGGTTCTGCGCTCCCTAAAGAAGGCGTACACAAGACCTCGACACGGGGCGAAAGATATCACGCCTTCTACACTCAACCGCTTTCTTCGCTTCGACACAGAAGCTCAAGCAATTGATTTTGTCGAGCAGCATGGCCTCGGCTTTTCAGATGGACAAGGACCATCGGGCGAACCCGTCCGATACCTCGACACTTCGCAACGTCTAACATGGCCAAGAATCCACCACAGTTTCTCCCATCAACTTGTAGAAAGGAAAAGAGGGCACCGCGGTCTTCCTGATGTCATTCACAGCACTATTCCCGACCAGTCCACACAAACCGCACAAGCGACCTCAGGGCGTGGCTTTGGCACAAATGCTGCTAGTTTTGGCACAAACGGTGCATCGCCCAGGCCACCGCAGCAACATCCCACGTTTGGCAACAACTCGACAGCCAAGTCAAACAGCCCATTCGCTTCTCCTTTCTCAGCTCCTCAAGGGGCCGCGTCGACAGGATTCGGAGTAACGCCATCTTTCGGCAAAGGTAAAGAAACTTCCACGCACTACCCATACCGCTGCCACCTTATGTCTTTCAACTCCCCTTTCGACTTCAGAATACTGTGGCCAAGCGCAGTACCCTCCAATCGCTTCCAAGTATCTCTTTTCCTTCAATCTCAGAGATTGCTCTATTGGAATAGATGCCATCGCAAGCAGTCAACACATCTGGCCCAATAGCGAACATTTTGATGAGCAAGAGCTCAAAAACACACTCGAACTAGACGATCTAGCTAGCGAATCAATGCCTTCGGCAAAAGTTGATGAAGATAGTAGGGATGGTCGAACGGAACCTCCGCTAACTTTGTGTCTCACAGCAACAGAAGGCTCAAAGCCTGGTTCAACGGGCGCAGGCCCGTTTGCAAACCCCTTTACTGCCGCAAATGCCCCTCTTACAACTACAACGTCATTTCAGCAGGCAGACCAAGGCTCGCCGCCAACAGCACCGCCTGCTGTTAATCCGTTTTCTGGCAAGCCAAGCCCATTCGCCAAGCCGGAAGCAGCACAAGAGAAAGCAACGGCAGCCAGTAACCCCTTTAAGGAAGCGGCTCAACCTAATGGTTTTGCCAAACCTGCGCAATCCGCTTTTCCATCATTTCCTGCTCCAGCGTTTGGGGCCAGCACGCATCAAAAGGCGCAGGAAACCACACAAACAAAGCCAGCAGCACAGGCTGGTAGCGGTCTCTCTCCCTCTATCAGCGTCACTCCTCCGACACCACAGTTCCCGCCGTCAGCTGTAGGTGCTGCCTCGAAATCATCTAGTCCATTCAATTTCCTGGCAAGCGCCGGCACATCGCCCGCGACGCCGGCTTTCTCTTCCTCGGGTCCCTCTCAGCAGACCCCGAAGCCGGTCGAAGTACAGCCTCCGCCATCAACAGGAGCGTCATTTTTTACTCAATCGGCTAAGCCTGTGGAAAGTCCGAAACCACAGCCCACGCAATCACCAAGCCCATTTGCTACTACTTTACCTACGGCGGAGCCTTCTCAGAAGCTCCCGAGCTCAGGCACCCCGTCTTCTCAGTCTCCCCTACCGACAGTTTCATTGCAAGCAAGCAATGCTTTCTCAACTACCACGCCGGCGCCGCAAAGTCAACCAAGCCTCTCACTCGGCGCTACGCAACTGGGAGAAACAACCTCGCAACTTGCCCAGGTTGCGCCCCCCAAGCTCGCAGTCGAAGAACGACGTTCAATCAAGGATGTCATGGCGGACTTTGCAAAGTGGTTCGTTACGGGCGACAACGGGTTGATGCAAGAGTTCGAGAAATTTGTCGTTGAGCAGATCGTTGCGGACACCTTTACAAAGTATCACAAAGAAGAAGAAGAAAGAAAACGAAAAGAGGAAGAAGCAAGGGATCTGGCAGAAGCACGGAAGTTCCAAGTTTACAACCTCTCCGTCAAGTACTTCTATCGCTGGAGGGAAATCGCCCGCAACCTTCGTCTAAGCAAACTGCGGCGGCAGGAGAGGGAAGAGCACCGAAGAGTTCAAAGGGAGCTGCGAGAGGAGGAAATAAAGAGAAAGAAGAAGGCGGCCATTGCGGTCGAAGCACGACGAAAAGCCCTGGAGAGGCACGGTGTTGATCCTGTGGAGGAGTTCAGGGAACTGCTCTACCTCCGAAAAGACGACCCTCATGTCGATCTGCAGGCCGAGGCAGAAGCCCTTCTCGCCACCGGTATCTTGTCGGGCGTTTCGGATGAACGAGCCGCAGTCGCGAATGTTATGCGCCCCCCCGTGAAGGTCGAGACGGCTGCAACAACACCGTTGCCTCGATCGCGGTCGACGACAAGCTTGTCGCAGTCATCATCGGGACCTAAGCCCTGCGGCGCTAAGACGCGAGCTCTGAGGGAAGAGTTCGGCAAAAGCAGCAATAACTTCCGCCGGTCCCTACCTCCCATGTCAGCGCACTCCTCATCGTCGCGCATGTCATCAGAGCCTCAGAAACGTGTCAGCAAGGTGTCTGACCGTTGGCGTCTGAAGGCAATGGGACTCGTAACGATGCCTGACGGATCGGCCCTGCCAGAGGCTATCGCCAATGAGATGCGATACAACGGCAAACGTTATGAGGGTCTTGGTTCGTTCGGCTTGGACAGAAACGATACGGAGCGACGCCGGAGCGTATCCGCCGATCTCAGCCACGCCGCGGAGGCCCGCCTGCGGTTCTCGCAATCGCTGAACGGCGGCAGCACCACCCCGCAAACAAATGGAACTTCGCCGCCTAGCAAGAGGAAGCGGTCGCTCGAGGAGGACCACGAGACGGCGGCCACGGATGAGACCCGCGTCAAGAAGCGGCCGTCGAGCAACACGGACCTCGACAGGATACTGCGTGAGGCAAGGGAGAACCTGGAGTCGCTGAGAAGCTCGAGAGCCGAGCTGGACGAAGGGGCGGAATGGTTCAGGGAGCAAAACGAGATGATGCACGCCGAGGAGCTGAGCAGGGCCAGTTCGCCATGGGGCAAGGGCGGGGGGTATCGGTGAAGGCGGAGGAGGGGAGGCACGACGAGCATAAGCACAGGCGTTTCACGGGTCTATATGGTTGGGAAGGGGTGGTACGAGCAAAGTTTCTATAAGCATGTCGAATTCCTCGGGTACTAAAACACGGGCGTAATGCCCATAGAAAGAGAGGTTTCTGGATTGTCCAATCTGCGCAACGGAGGCCTCTCCGAGTTCTACTTCCTGGCGGTGGTGATGGTGATGGTGATTGTAAAAGTTGAATGTCGCACTTCAATAGCAAGACAAGCCGGGCCGCGAGAATACTCCGGACCGACGACGAATGGTAGGTAGCATGGGAAGAAAGATTGGTATTACTGATTCTGGGCATGGGCTACTCCCGAGACCCATTCTATCCCTTTTCCCGCTCCATCATGCAAAATGCCCCCCCCCCCCCAAAACGCCCATTCGCCCGTCGCTGTCCCTGCGATGACAAAAACCATTCACACATGGAGAGAATGCTGCAGCAACAGAAAGAGGATAAATAAATAAAAGGGGAAAAGAAAAGGAAAAAAAAAAAAGAGGATACAAATGTAGGGGAGAGACTACCTCCTCTTGGGCGGGGGAGGGGGCGGCGGGAAGGTCGTCTGGATGGTGGACGTCTCCACGGGACTGCCGCCCAGCGAGGTGATCCTCTTGGGCAGCGGGCGGGCGAGGTCCCTCGCGATGGAGGGGATCGTCCGCGCTGCGTCGCCGACGGGCGGCGACGGCGACGAGAACGAAAACGACACTGATGGCTCCGCTGGCGCGGCGTGCCGGGTATGCGTCGTCGGCGCGGGCCAGCCGGCCTGGCTGAGCAGGGGGCTCGCGGTGGTCCCCGAGGTCGGCGAGGCGTACGTGGTCGCCGGGCTGAAGACCGCGGCGTGACCGGTGGGCGGCGTGGGGAAGCCGTGCTCTGAGGGGACGTACTGCCTGAAAGGTAGCAGGGGCGCCGCCGAGGTCGTAGACGTCGGCGTGGCGTAGTAGTCGTCCTGTGGAGAGGACGCGTTGAAGCGCGGGGAATGGGCTTTGACGGGGATGGCGGGGAGGCTGGTGGTGATGCTAGCGAGGGGGAGGGTTTCCTTCTGCATGGGTTTGCGGTCCGTGTAGGGGACGGGGGCTGCGTCGTGGAAGGAGGACATGGAGTTGTGCGGCATCCAGAGGCTGGGCTTGGAGACGGGGCTCGAGGCCGTGTCCTGCTGCGGCCGTTGGTTCTGGGCTTCGTAATGGTGCCGGAGCTTCTCGCCGTGCGTGTCCTCCTCCTCCTCGACGGAGAAGAAGTTGGGCGTCTTGGGCGTGAGGTGGGTCTGGCACCGGAAGGAAAGCGAGGAGACCGGGCGGTGGCCCTTGGCGCGGCGGAAGAGCTCCGGGTTGATGCCGCGGCCCTCTCTGCGCGCCTTGCGCTTGCGCCATTGAATGAAGGTGCAGCCGGCAACGAAGAGGATGGCGATGACGGCGCCGATAACGATGCCGACGACGGCGGTCATGGGGAGGGCGGGTGTTGCATCCTTGGCGAGCTTTGCCGCGTCCTCGGGGTCGGCGGCCGTGATGGCTCCTTTTGTGAAGACGGTGCTGTTGAGGCCAACGAGCGTTCCCGGGTCCGGCCTCTGCCGACATCCCGCCTCGAGTGCGATGAGGTCTGAGAGATGGGGTTAGAGAGTGGTCACGGGGTTCTTGGAAGAGGGCGTCGCTTACAGTTGGCGAGGTAGTAGTGCTCACCACCCGCTCTGACGCAGGACAGGCACTTGTCGTATGCCGAGCCGAGCATGGCGCCGCCGTCCGCGTCACAGTACGAGTACTGCGATGACTTTTCGGGGTCCAGCTCGCCGTCTGTGAGAGCCTTCTCCAAAGCTCCGCATGCGGTGGACGTCGTGCACGGGCTGGAGCCGACGCCGGTGGCATTGGGATACCCAAAGATGCAGTAGTCAAAGGAGTACCTCATGTTGTCTGGTGGGCTTGGTTAGCACAAGGTTTTGAAATACGGCATCGGCATCGGGTTCCGAACTTACACAGAAACCAATCTTGGTCGTTCTCGCTCCCCTGGACGAACGAGCTGTCCTGAAGACAGCTCATACATTGCTGGAACTTCTGGCCCGCGGCCCCGGTCTGGTATTCGCCATCTGTACACGTGATGTCCTTGCCCTTGGTGTTGGACGAGTTGGGATCCGAGATGTCGAGGCCGTCGGAGTCGAGGCAGAAAGAGGCACACGGCGAATTCGGCGTGACCTGCAACGCTGAGACGTGCGCCGGCACGACTATGGTGAGAAGGAGTAGGGCGGATCGAGCGGCCATTGCGAGATCTTGGGCGAGCTGGTATTAGGCAACGAATGTCGATGAAAGAGAAAGCAGAACAAGGCTCCAGAGCCTTGTATACTGTGAGATTAGAAAGAATAAATAGTCCAAAACAATAATACTAGGTATCGCTCAGTGCAAGGCAACAAGACTCAAAACAATATCACAATAAGACGGAACAACCCCAGAAAGATAATCTCGAGGGATGCCCAAGGTTCACGACTATAATATATTCGGCCGATTGTGTTGATCACACCTCCACAGTTAACTCGAAGGGGGAGGGATATGCAGCTGCAGGAACATATGGTAAGGTGATGGGCATGGGGGCCGCCTGCAGGCTACAAGGGCCCATGGGCGCGATCCCGACAGATGGGGACAAGCCGGTCGCGACAAACGCAGCTAGCCAGACAGAGGAGAAGGGAAAGCGATATCCCAAGCCGGGGTTGGGAGCCCCGTCGACCTGCCGCCAACCCGTTCAACAACGGTACGAGGTGGGTGTCGACATCGGCAGAGGGTGTGGTGATGTCGGCCTCGGGGGCAGCCAATGAGCGACCAGTACTGGGTCCCCAGCGGGAAAGGAACAGCCAGCGACGAGGAAATTAAGCCTTGGACCATCTCGCATTCGAAAAGCGCGCTCCGCGCAGACCATAGGCGCCGTTTGCGGACGTGACTGATGTGTGCTTCCCGAAGCTCGACGAGCGACATTGTCAGGTGAGCAGAGCAGAGCAGAGCAGAGCAGAGCAGAGCAGGCACGGGGCAGCCCAGCGCTAACAAGTGTCAAGAGCACACTTGCAGAACGGCGGCATGTGCATATTGCAACCTCTCCAGGCTTTGCCGCGATGGAGGGACATTAGCCAGCGGCTGTTGGTCGTTGATCGTTGGCCCGACTGCATGTAGGTAGAGGAGGCATCTCGGCAGCGTTCAATAGCGTGGATTCCTCCCCCCTCTTGGCGTTCTGCATCATTGTGCTTGTGCCTGGACGTACCTGGCGTCCAGGCGCATTGTGCCAATGTCAGTGATCACGTCCAGCCGGCGGCTACGCGATGCACCTTGGAGGTGATATGGGGGGGAGGGGGGGGGAGAAGGTGAAGAAGATCAAGCAAGCAAGCATTGTGCCTACCAATGGGAGCAGGGCGTTTGGAGATTGATCTGGTTGGGCACAATGGCTGACAGTCAGCGAAGGCTAATCGGGGTCCGGCGCTTACCTGAGCTCACGACTGCAGCTGGCACCTGGTAGGTAGGCACTATGTATGTGAACTAGACTAGGTACGGATAGGTACCCGTGTTTCCCACTGCGGGCCAAAGTGGGACCTGCCCTGTCTGGTGGGCCCATCACTGCTCTTTCCCTTTTATCCTTTTTTTTTTCTTTTCCTCAGTCCCCCTTCCTATTTCGTCCATTGGCCCCCCCCTGCTCTCCCTGATGTGATAGACTTTCAATCACTTTTTGCCGGCCCAATCCCGACTTGTCCTCCCTCCAAACCCTTTTACCTTCTTCTCCTTGGGGCTCTGCAACTAGGTGATCGCTCTGCGCTTAAACCCGCCGGGGTTCCTTGCGGCATAAGCTTTCTTCTCAACTTGACAACTCCCATTTACGGTATTCCCCCCCCCCCCCCCCCCCTTCCCCCTCCTTGGAACTGGCTTTGTTGCGCCTGATCTTTTTTTTTAACACCCTGAAAGCTTATTATTAATGACGTTGCCCCATCTCAGCTGTCAATTGTTTGTTTTTTTACTTTATTGCGACGACACGGCTTCCCAGGTTGGCATATGTACGCGTGTGTGTATTATGTTTATATACGCATGGTGTGCGTGTGCGCGTGCGCGCGGTGGTCATTAATTGTGCCTTTCGCTGGGTGTCTTGGAAATCAAACACCACGTTTTCCATCCATGTGTCACCCGCCCTTCGTTCCGTTCCGCTGCGAGACATTTGTCGGTGGCATCTCCGTCACAGGTCACCTTGACCGTGTTTGTCTCATGACGCGTCTGTTTTGCCGTTTGCCGCGTTTGTGTGTGTGTGCGTGTGTGTAAGTCTCATGTCCACGAATCCAAAACGCCCGCAGATGAGAAGAAACATCTTCCTCCCTCCAAAGCCCAGCCCAAAACCGGTTCAAACGGAAGATCCCCGCGGTGAAACTTTGGGCTGTGCAATATGACGTGCCGCCAACAACGTCCAAACGCATTCGCCATGTTCGCTGTGATCCAGAACGGTCCCCAACAAACACGCCATGCACGCCGTAGATGAAGAAAAACAAGAAGAGAGAATAAAGAAGGGAAAAAAAAAAAAAAGAAAAAAAAAGAAGAAGAAGTACCACCATTCCACTGTCAACAATCATCCGTCTCTCAATTCCCGCTCAAGCCCTCTTCAGCTGACGATGACGTCCGTGCCGGTGACCGAGTAAACCGTCTGGTACATGCACCGCGACGGCGCGGCCCCGGGGCAGACGGCGTGAAACACCATCTGGCCGCCCCCGACCACGCTAGTGGCGCCGCCGGGCGCCGTGAGGTTGAAGTCGCCCGTCTGGAGCAGCATCCGCGGCGCGCGCTGGTAGGGGCCCTTGAGGCTCTTGCTCGTCGCGTAGTTGACGTTGTACTTGTCCGAGTTGAAGCAGAAGCTGCTGAAGAAGAGGATGTACAGCCCGTCGCTGGTGCGCACGAGGTTCGGCGCCTCCACGAGCGGGCCGTCGGCGTCCGTCCTCCCGAGTACCTGCACCGGGTCACCGACCATGGTGACCCCGTCCGCCTTGACCTCCTGCATCATGATGGGCGTGTCTACGAGCGGCTCGACGCCGTTGTTGCAGTCGCCGCCGTGGCCGATGTTGTTGCCGTCCACCTTGTAGAGCACGTAATGCTTCTTGGTCGGCTCGTCGTAGAAGCCCGAGGCGTCGATGGCCCCGCCCTGCGACAGCGGGCACACCCACGGCTCATCCGTCGCCACGTACGGGCCGGTGATGTTCTTGGAAAGTCCCACGCCGATGCAGTGCTTTCCGCCGGCGTCCTTGACCTCGCCCGAGTAGTACATGATGAAGGACCCGTTGTCCAGCTTCCGCACGTCGGGCGCCCACGTGTTGGAGCCCGAGGCCCAGCCAACTTGCGGAAGCGCGTCCATGTCGAGCAAGTCCCACGTCCCCGCGATGTCCGATGCTCTGGCCACTTGGATGTTCTTGCCGTTGCTGTTTGTCGCGAAGGAGTACCACATGCCGTCGTCGCCTTTGATGAGGGCAGGGTCCGGGAAGTCGGTGTCGATGCTCGTCGTAATAACTCTCTGTGCTCGGCCCTCAACAAACAGGGCCTCCACCGGCACGGCCATTACGGGTCGCAAGGCACCCAGGCAGAAGAGACCCGCGGCGAGGAGGGAGCATGGCCGTAGCGATGTTGTTGTTGATGCCGGAAACATTGTTGCTCCCTAGGGTATAACAAACAAAAGTGACAGCTGTGTCAAGAAAGAGAGGGGGGGGATGTGTTTATAAAAGACACACGATAATGAGTGACGCCTTGCTGAGCTCGACCAACTGCGTATATACAAAAAGGCCGAGACAGGATGATGATGAGGAGGAGGACGGGGTGTTTCTTGTGCGTTTCTTCTCTCTGTTCAGGAACTGGACAAGTCTAGTAGATGCAAAACCGAATAGACATTACTCCGTAGGCAAGTATAGGCGTCATGAATATCATAGCGAACTTCGAGAAGAGAGGACCTCGGCCTCGGTGAAGGCGTGCGGAGGAGACCATTCTTGTAGGCCAGAGGGAGCCTTCCTTCCTACAGGGAAAGGGAGGTGAGCCAAGGACGTTTTGGCCGAACATGGGAGTTCTCTGAGTTTTTCCTCGCTTCCCTTGGCCGTCCGCACGCTCGCTCCACACACGGCGTTTCTTTTTTGCAGTAATAATCTCATCCTGCATGGTCCTGCCACTTGAGCTCGTGGCCTGCGCCGGTGGACTCGTTGCATTTCCATGTCAAAGCAGATGCGTGAAACAGGTGGGCCGGGGAGGGGGGTGCGTAGCGGTCAAGTGCGTGGCAGCTTCTTACACCTCAGCCTCGACCGGTTTCCAGATGCCAAACCTCTTAGCACCTGCAGATCAAGCTATAAAGAAAATCTCCTAAGGCTGGGCTCACGTCAGACAGGGGGTGGACGAAAGGGAAGGGGGTCAGATGGGAATCCTACTAGGCCTCGGCCCCGTTTCCTTGGTCGAGCAACAGAATATGAAATCAAGGATGAGGTGAGTGTGCATGCAACCGCCGTTTTCCCGATCCCCTTGCCAGTCGGGCATGGCCACATGGATGACCATGTAACGTCGTCCGCCATGGAGATTGGAGAAAGAGGCTCATTCTGACCCTCGGCCGAGACTCGCACCGGGGATGCACGGGAATTGGCCGGGGATGGCGGTGGTTGATGACGGAGGGCGACCGGGGGGTGGGATCCCCAGCTGCCGGTGCCTATCGGGGTGGCGAAGCATGGCGCGAAGGATGGAGGATTTGAGGTGCAAATAAAGATAGGAGGTTGCAACCCAGTGGGGTGACGTGCCGCCGCGAGTGCCACCTCAGGGGAGCATTAAAGTGATCCGCCTTCAGTAACGCATTGCCAGTTAAGCAAGCCACGGGGTTCTTAGGTGCATTGTTCCGATTCCACGCGGCATCCATCAGAGAGCGGGGGGAGGGGAGGGATTCGATGACAGATGCTACAGTTTCCTTGGTCGACTAACACAAGTGGCCTGAGACATGCCGGGCGACAATGCCTTCCTACCCTTGTGTACCCCTTTTTCCCACAGGGAACTTGTCTTCGGACGAAGCATGGAACACGTATATGGTCACCATATACGAGTGAGATGCTAAACAGCAGCCGTTCGGACGAGATCCACGCTTGAGCTCGGACCTGGCTGTGCTGGTCTGGAATCCCCTGGATGCTGGGCCGCGCCACCCAGGTGCTTCTTCTTAATAATTTTTTCTGTACTTCCGTTTCAACATTTCGCTCAATAGTCTCCTTCAGATATCGAGTATTTCCGTCGAAACAACGTCGATCTTGTTTGTAAAAAAATCCGACATGGAAAGGAAGGGAAAAAAGAAAAAAAAAGAAGGAAAAAAAAAAAAAACCGTGAACTGATGCGACAGTAGTAGCCGTCGCTTTTAATTTTCGTATAGGACCTATCTACTCCTATCCAGCCAGTACGCACTATGTTCAACAGGAGGAAATCAGAACCAAACGCCACTTGCCAAAGCCATTTTTTTATGATACAACAGCCAACCACCGACCATTGTCAACCAAACACATGGTATCGAGCCAATCGGGAAGATCCAACTCGCCAGAGATTACTCGCTGTCGTCATCGTCGTCACCGCCACCTGACTTGGACGCCTTCTTCGCCGCCTTGGCGGCCTTCTTCTCGGCCTTCCTACGCTTGCGCTCCGCCTTCTCGTCGGGTGTCTCGCCCTCGTGCTTCTTGCGCTTCTTGGTCTCGCCGTCATCCTCGTTGTTGGCAGGGGTGACAGCAACGCTGGTGGTGACCGTCGTCGTCTCCACCGCCTTGAGGGGCGTGGCCGGGGCAGACGCTGCAGCCGCGGTGGCACCTTCGACGGCGCCGAAGTCCTTGTACTCGGATACCCACTTGGCGGGAGTCGCCTCGTTGGGACGACCGTACTTGTCGAGCTTGCCGTCGGCCTTGAGCTTCTTCTTCTCCGAGGCCAGGGGGCCCAGTCCCCATCTCCTGGGGTACAGGTCGCGCTCCATGATGCACCGCTTGACCTTGGCAACAACGCCGTGATCTACATGATGTTAGTCCAAAGGGACCGTGACTGCATACAATGACGAAAAAAAAAACGTACCGCATGTCGACATCTCAACGGTGGACATCTGGGCGATACCAAGGGCAATAGCCTCGCCCTTAGTGGTCATGAGGACAACCTCGTCGTGGACCTCGATCTCGGACTCTAAAAAAAAAGGCGAATCAGCATGGCAGGCATGGGTGACCTTTACCGGGTTGACAACTAACCGTATCTCAGAAGACCGGGAAGCATGAGCTTAGCACCGTAGCAGACGGCGTTGACCTGCCACATACGTCAGTATATACGGTGGAGCAGTGAATCGGATCCGAGACATTGCCCGCATGGTCGCATTGACCGTGCAGAGCGGGGTTGCAATAGGTTACTTACGGCACTATCCTTGACCACAATACGCTTGTAGCCAGTGAGAAGAGTCTCCAGGGGAGAGATGACCTTGCGCAGGTAAGACTCGTCTCTGGTGTTGTCCATCGTCCATTGAGCATCGAGCACGTCGTGCAGAGTGACCATGCCCTTGGTCTCGTCCATGGCACCACTGCGCACTCTGCGCAGCTCCTGCATGTGACCGCCAACGCCGAGCAAGAGACCCTAGAGTCATGTCAGTAATGAAACCGAGGCCAAACGGAAGCCTAAGAAACGTACCAGGTGGACGCAGAGAGTACGGATGTAGGTTCCAGCTTCGCACGAGACCCAGAAGACACCGAGATGACGGTCCTGTATTTGACGCACCGGTCAGCAGTTGGTTCTCGCAATGCAACGCATCGACGTACATTGTCAAACTCGATGAGCTTGCTCTCATGGATGGTGCGGATGCGCAGCTGGCGCTTGACGGCCGAGATCAAAGGCGGGCGCTGGAAGAGGGCGCCGGTCAAGGCTAGATTGCGAGTCAGAACTATATGGACAACTGCAACAGAATTGGTTTTGACTCACTCTCGAGAGCACGGGCAAACTGGACTTGGCCGCCGGGGAGCTTGTCATGAAGACGGATAACGGCAACATACTCCTTACCAGCCGACTGCTGAGACTTGACGAGTCTGGTAGCACGGTCGATGCTGGATAATTCATCAGTTGCAGGTCTCTCATGGATCACGCCAACGGCGATCAGTGGATTGCTACTAACCAAACAATCAAACAACCTGAGAAAGTTAGCAAAACACGTTCGAGACAAATTTGTGGAACCCGACTCACCGGTAACTTTGGGGTCAAGGGTTCCGCTGTGACCAGTCTTTTCGACGCTGCACGCAACAATCAAGGTCAGTATTCGGTCTTTGGACGAGGCTCCCCATCCGAGTGCGCGGTTCCTGAATGCCCCTCGAAATACATCCGCCGCAAGGATTGTTGATTGATTGACGGCAACGGCAGTCGAGACATCATGATGGTCATGTCAGTCGAGTTCCGACGAATTTTGTCTGAAGCATGCATAACTGCCAACTGCAGCCCTCTACATGACACGCTGGTGACTGATTCTCGGGAGAAGCATGTCTATTCCCATGGGCCTGGGAGTCCGTGGAAAATTTTCGCCCCCCCGGCGCATCCAGCCGAACCGATCGCGACGTCATTCTTTACCGCCCGTTGTCCATCCGAACCCGTCGCGCTATACGCCATCGGTATCGTATTTCGAAAAGCCGTGGTTTTCGTAAAAGGATATCAAGTTCCGTTTCGAGGAGAGGGGCATATCGCGCAACTCGGACGCGGGGCACTGCTTCAAACATCAGGGAGGGGGGATTGCATACCGAAGCATTCGCTTGACCCAGGCGACAACCTCGTGGGAACTGGGCTGGGCAATTGTTAGCACAACTGGCCATGCTAATTGATGTGTACGTGCCACGGAAGACATACGTTGGAGGGCTTGTCGAGGTTGATGACACCGCTGGAGATGTACGACTTGATGTCTCGCTTCAGAGGGCTGCATCCTGCCGGAATGGGGGTGAAGTGACCCGTCCGGACGAGAACTACAGACCGGTCAGTCGGCCGTTTGATTGATCTCTACGAGCGATCCGCTCAAGCCCAAAGGATTAAGAAGGGAACTTGCGCTTGTCGTAGTTCTTGAGCAACAGAGGCCAGCTGCTTGTGTCCAGCTGGGGAACCGAGGCCTGCGGCTTGATGGCGAACTCCTCCTCCTCGCCGTGCTTGACGACCTCCATGGCCATTGTTTCCGTATTGTCCTTGGAACGGCGACAGGCGTTTCAGGTGCAATTGGGGGTCTTTGTGCTTGACGTTGCGGCGGCAGGTACTCGCGAACGTCGGGAATGGAAGGTCTCGTCGTGGGTGTTGGAGGACTTGAAGCTTCCCAATCCAAATTTTTTTCTCCTGCTGTGGGGTGGAAGCTGCCAAAAAAATGCGTCCGGGCCCACAGTGTGGCGCCCGTTGGCCATTGAATGGACGTCACTGGCTCACCGCCCGCGTTCAGCCACACACCCACCGGGCGCGACTTGCTGCCATTCCATCTTTCCAGGGTCCAGTCTTGCGCAGCCATGCACGCAAAAACTACAGCAGTAAGCATTGTTATTCATGTTCACGTTTGTGTTCACAACGAATGGATACCAATGGAACTATCCGTACTACTCACCGGTATCCAGCAATCATATTTTCAAACGAAGCTCATTGTTTTCATAACACATATATGAATACTGGCATCGTTCGTTACGTTTGCATTTCTTACAACATCTCAGATCATTGCCGAAAAGGCTTCTACATTCAGGCCTCAAAACTGAAGGCTATCAATCGGTGTCTCCCACAATGCTAAACTCCCGCTAATGACAAACAGATCGCGACAGCTTTGAAAGCTCAAATTATATGCCACACCTCATCATACCGCCAAACATCTCGTTCGCCGCCCTAAATGTACCCTCTCCTGATGTCCTCCTCTGTCAGACCGTGGTACGCTGCCGGGTTATGCTCCGC